GTTTCCATTGATCCGTTGTCTATCGTTCCCAAATGCAAACACTTTACACCAGCATCTGTGGTTTCATTTTGGGAGTAAATTGTGACTTTCCCCCTTTCAGGATTTTGCCAGATGTTTGGAATGGTTGGCAGCCAAATATTTTATGGTTGGCATCCATATTCAACCAGCAAAACGCAGATACAAAAAAGCTAGATTTTTCTTAATTGTGGGGAGTGATAGCATATCAAAATTTGCTTTGAAGGTTACAAAAAACTGTCTGTTATCTTTCACTTTGTTTCATTATTCATCATTTGCAAATTTGCAAAAATGCAAAGATTTTTGTTTCCTTTGCATTTTCAACATTTATTGCAACATGCGGCTACAAATCAGCCAAATTTTGCTTCTTTGGGCAAATCAATTTACGACGCCACCTGTGCCAAAGACAAACCCCAAGAGGCACCGAAAAGGCGTACCCTATCACAAATTAAATGTGAGCACCATAAATACCTTTGTGAGCGCTGCGACAGAGTTTGGGTTGGGGGTAAGTGGGGAGGGGAGGAGGGGGGTCTGCAGTGAAGAATGAATGTTTACAGTGATGAATAAAATTTGCGCAGTGATGAAATTTTCATTTTCTCTTTCGAAATTGCAGCGGCTGTGTCATCAAACTGCACGATAACGATAATCAGGGAGGTCAGTACATAGGAAACAAAGGTCGATGTTTAGTACTCCAGTTTCTTAATGTTCTGGAAATTTCAAAACCTTATTGTTTCTTAAGGGTTTCTTAATTATGATGTCATGAATGATGTTATGAAATGTCTGTGACAAGAGATTCGCTTCCGTGGCTGTATTTAGATGTAGGAAGTATAACTTTATTCCTCGTGTCTTAATTTCTAGGCCATCAGAGTAATCATGTTTTTGGATTTTACAAAATTTCGTTGTTCGCAGTTTAATCACGTTTTAATAGCTTCTAGATTATTTTTCTTTGAGTAATGCAGTTTCTTAATTTTTTCTGACTGTCTCTTTACCTATAGCCAGTTTCTTATAAAAAAATGAGTGTATTGCGTCACCGTGGCTGGCAGCAAAGATGGCAAAGAAGACATCAGTCTAGACTCTAGGAAATAAGATGGGGAGTTGGCTACGATTGACAAAAGGTATTTTTGCCCAGTTTGTCTCTAGCTTCTGATATCTCCAGTACATGGCCTGCCCCCCCCCCTCCATTTTTTGCAAAACAAAAGAGCTTTTTTTAAAATCTCTTGTTATGGGTGTTAAATTTGGCTTTGCCCCCCATAATATAGATAATAATAATAATAATAATAACAATAATAATATTGATAATAAAAATAAATTATTTGATTAAGGTTGGCGTAGCTGATAGCACAAGGCTAATTAATGCCAACCATAATTTACATAACAGCATGAATAACTAAAACGAACTAATACAAAATGGTAACTCTGATCCCCCCCCGCCCCATTTTCCAACCTGTGTCAGTCAGTGCCCATGCAATACCTCAATGAGCGATATGTAACCTTCCCTTCACAAAGGATCTACCTTTAATAAAAGTATGTAGGGCCTGTGGTGTATTACCATAGATGTAGGCCATATGATTAACAAAACAAAACAGACACGGACAAAATGTTAAATCTCTGAGCTTTTTGCCATTCATGAACATTTTCGGTACTTATTGCTTTATCCTTTCCTACTTACAGTAGCTAAAATTGTTGCTTTTGTAAGTACTTCACTGAAGATGACTTTAGGTAGAGTCGAAACGTTTGAATATCTGATTCTGTCTCACTGATATTCTCGAATTTTTTTTCATCGATTTTGTCTATTATAATAAGATGTCGAAATAGAAATCCATAAAAATCTATTATTTATTCTCTTAACTCAATCGACAACGCTGTCTTATCACACGTATCCGATCCTTTCTCATTCCGGATCGCTCCTAGTATATATGTATAGCTACTCGAGTCCACATTTAGTGAAGCTAGAATTCTGGATTTTAGAAACCTGCTCTACAGATCATGACACGTTCTTGGCTTCAGCGCTCTAGCCGCCAAACACCACAGCTCACAGCATTCCATTTTCATTCTGACTTAACATTTTGCAATCTGCTTTTCTTTGTTTCCTTTGTTTTTATTTCAACTATCCTTCAAATAAGATCAATTTTCGTTTAACAATGCCGTTTTCGGACAAAGTTCTTGCTAAAAGTGAAAAGGTCAAGCAGCAGCCCACGTCCGTGACCTGCAGTTTGGTACCCTGACCCTTTTCGATGAGCTTATATCACTGCAAAACTTTGCGTTTGAAGAACATTCTAAAAAAGCAACTTTTTATTTACAAAAGTATTTTCATTAGACAAGTACACCACTACGAATAACTTATATCTAAAACATTGATAGTTATATGAATCAAAAATGGTACGTCAATATTTTGAAAGACATCGTGACACAGGACTTTGGATGGACCAGCACAGGACAGAAATTGGTGAGATAGACTGGTTTTTTACTAACTTTATAATAAAAACAGACTTAACAATTGCAGGGAGACGCTGCAATCAGCCTAGTATAGTACGATAGCCTAACCAATTGAAATCTTCAGGTAATGACTTGTCACAAACGCTGCCGCAAAAGACGCTCCATATTGTGCCGAGTACAAAGTCCATCTACGACCAAAACACCTGAGTGGGACGTATAGGCCGCTTATAAACAGAATAAACAAAGATCATGACGGGACGCGCGAAATTCTACATATAGCAAAGTCAGATTAGTACTACATTTGTGATACTACTTTAGGTTTCAATAATTAAAATGTCCTGATGAACATACATATCGATAATAAAAACCCCTGAAAGATAATCTTTAGTAGGCTCTCGCATGGGTGCTAAATATCGAGAGAAAATGGTTTCTCGATAGCAGGACATGGTTTCGATAACCTCTGTCAGAGTGGACCAAGATGTTAAATGATACGGTGACACGATAGTCAAAACATGAATATACACTGTTTTATAGCCAATACGGGTCTGGCCTTTGTAAGCTTCTTGCTTTGACTGGCGTAAAGACACTCTGGGAGACATAATGGGGTGCATCTTATACAGGGCTGGCTGCACTCGACAACATTTTTTACAGACTGCACTCGGCAATATACGGTAAACGATTTGTCGAATCAAATTTCAAGCACCTCTTCTACTCTATCTACAATGACACAAAATGAGAAATTACCGAGACAATTAACCTATATAGAAATACCACCAACCTATACAACCGAACAACAATTGATTTGAACTAGAAGCAAAAATGAGTAGGCTATTAAAATTGTAACAATGGCAAAAATTAAGAAATCAAGAAACAGCTTTAAATTTGAATACAATTGCAAAGGGTATTTTAGGTGTACGGAATATTTAGATTTCATTCCGTCTTGAAAAGACCCTGCCGAGTGATTTGAAATGAATTACCGGAAAAGGCTTCAAAGGACTTCGGGGAGACCAACAATTTTATTGGTTTCAAGATAAATGGCTTCCAGTTCTCACAAATCTAGTGATCAACATAAGTTTGATGTCGAAAATGTAAATTTTGCAGAAGCCTGAAATTGCACGGGCTTGTACGGTCATCAATACTTTGTTTATTAGATATAAAAAAATCTAAAATTATGAGAAAGAAAGACAGCAGCAACCAACAACATAAAAATTTGTTCATGTTTTCAACTTTCAGTTACTGGTGGTTAAATAAAATCAAGAAGTGGATTCCAACACTTGACCAGCTATATTACGACCCTTTCTTATCTGGGACATAGAATTCACATTTTTCACAATTCACAATTTTGAAACCTTTTCTTCACCCCGAATTAATGTATAATATACGACAGCACCGCGAAAAAAGTTATCTGCAAAACGACAAAAACTCGGTTGGCAAAAACAGATTTCTGCTAACTGCAAGTAATTCGAAATACATTTCTCGAAGATCGACAATTAGATAATGCATCACACCAAGGAGACGTTGCACTTAGAAGTCTTTCCATTACTGGGAAGGCGCATAGAGCGACTAGCTAGGCAGCAGCCTTCAATATCAAATGGCAAAACGGGCTTTTCTTAAACCAAACACTGAAAGGCAGGCGGTAAGAATTTGTATCAGTTAAAAATAAATCACTTGGAACCCATTCTTTCCGCAGTTCTGCTCCATTGAATAACTGACCTCACAATACTTGCGTTAAGGGGACTTAAGTTGTTCCAGAGCGCAAACAACAATGTGCAAGCGAGCTGTGACAACCAACTTGATACGCACTTAGAGAACAGTTCTACACATTGACGAAAATCTGAATCCAATATGCCGCCTTTCCTAATTCAAACTACGTATCTGCTTCGGGAAGGTACGTACTCTTTTAGAGTCCAATGGAATCTCTTTGAAGGTACGAGGACTACAAAGAACAACATTTTATCTTTGCATAAATTTGCTACAATAGATATCATTAGTTTTATCAAAAGCAGATTGAATGTCTGAAACACATCACAAGGACAGCTGGGGAGGGGAGGGGGAGGGGGTCGCAAACAGACGATTGAACTTGTATTAGCTAATTAAAATGTTTTCGACAATTATCTACCCCCCTTCCAACTTTCGTCTATTCCATAGTGTGTCTACTCTACAATAGTACCATATGGCATTACATCAACTCGTCTACATATCCAGATAAGGTAAATTTATCAGCATTGCCACCATGGTTTTGAAAATATGTAATTAAATTGAAAGCTAATTATTCCTGACCAAAGCCTTCACATTCCTCAATTGCAAAAGTGAGTTTCTCATGAAGCTGTTCGTAGCTTTTGTACGGGGGTAAGTCCAGACGATTGAAACTAGGAACAAAAACATTTCGTTACAATAATATCTCGATTAATCAAAATCTAATTTGATGAATAGAAATGGTGAACACCAAAAGATGTTGCTTAAAACATTTTTACAATGAAGAAGATAATATAAACTGGGAAGTAAAAAAAATATCAAACACTGGTTACAGATATTTGCGTGCAATTTTGGATAATTAAAAAAGAGCATATGAATATTGCGAATTAGATGTATTCAAAACACTTTTTCAATTCCATAGATGTCAAAAACAATTCACTAATAAAAAAGAAAAATACTTTGAAATAATAGATAGAATGTAAAAAAATACAGATTTGTTCATATAATGGTTCTATGATGGCAAGTTTAGGAGCTGATACAGGTTGGTTACTCCAAATATTCGTGTTAATGACGGTGATAGTTGGCAAGCACGCATAATTCCAAAAGCTATAATTTGTACTCTTGTTAAAACATTGGGTCTCAGGATTATTGCAAACGACAAAAAAGGAAAGGGCTTCACTTGTCTATCAAAGAAGGTGGTCAGCAAAGGGACCTCAACATTTCAAAGCATCTATGCTTTAAACAGGATAAGTGCCACTTGGTTTCCAAGTTATCCTTCCCAAGGGCTAATGAAATTAGGTACCAGATAAACAATTCAGTACATCAACATACCAAGTATGACTTCTGGGTAGCCAAGTTTCCTTCCCAACTTTTTCTATGCAAAACTTCTGTGGTCCGTTGCTCCCTAGAATTGACCATTAATAGCAAGATAATAACAAAGTTAAGAATTAATCCTGTATATATGATTGGGTATTTTCATTTAGCTGCTATTTTCATGATCCCTTTCACAAAGAGGCATTTTATATTGTAAACAGGCCAATGAATTATTTGTTGGATAACATCATAATCAGGAGTTTCTTTTGCAATGGGATGATACAAAAAGAGGGCGTGCTTCTCTTGATCACTCAAACAAACTTGAGTAACGATAAACTGATGTTTATGTAGAGGGATAAAGATAGGGGTTTTTTTCACAATTATTTAGATTTTGTAATTTTCAGATTTATCATGAATTGGTTTGAAAAAATTATTTCATCTCAAAAAGGTTTCTCAGTAAACGCTCCTCTCTTATAAACACCCTCTCCAACAGTCGCCCCTTCTAAAAAGAAATAAATTCAATAAACGCCGGGGCATTAAATATATAAAATACGGTAAGTACCCATAAGATCCTGAAAGCCACCGACAGGAAGTCTGCACGTGCCAGTCACAAATTGTAGCAGCCTCGTTCTCTTTTCGTTATCGTACGATTTGACAGCTTGCCAAAACCAAATGACTTGCTTGCTTGTTTTCGTGTAGTTCCTGTACACAGTGTTGCGTTGCCAGTCATCTATATCATACTCCTGCATTCCGCAGAGTATCAGCTGAAATGTAAGCTCAGGATAAACTGTCTTTTCATGGTCAGAAGCGATAAAGGGAAATAGGTTTGGTGACAATATTTCTCAGAACTGCCCAGAACAGTTGTCAATTACCTAATTGCAATTGAAATGAAAAATACAGAAAATAGAATCTCAGCGCACCTCATTCAATCCAAAGAACTGAATCGCTTATATGTAATCCCGTTGAATCATAGCCAAAAATACGGACTGTAGAATCAAGATAATACACACCTCCAACTCCCTTTCGTCAAAGTACTGAAGCCAGTGCATCGGCAACACTTCGTTGAATCCGTTGAAGAATGAGGTCAGCGGCTCTTCGACCCCACGACTAAATCTCCATTGAACCATAAGGCTAAAATGGAAATCTCCACTATATTAAACGCAGTATGTGGGTTCGTATTACAAGTATTCCATGGTTGATAAATTTACATCAAGACTTTGCAAGCGTACGGCTTATTGAATATGCTGGCTAAATATACATGAATATGCTGGCTCAAAATGATTGATAGTCGGCAAGAGCATCTTTTGGAGGACGGGGGAGAGGTTGGGGAGTGTGGTGGTGGTGGGGAACAAAGCTTGCCTGATCTTCGCACTTTAAATGCACTATCTATTGCACAGAAGCCCAGCTTTCAACCTTAATCAAAGTAACTTAAGATACTTTGATTTTTCTTTCACTGATCATTTCTATGAAAAAATTATGAGTTAAATTCTCACTCAATGTATTCCTCTTTGTTTTCATCCGTGACAAGAATATCTTTTCCGCCTTCTTTTAAGTCATGTGTGGTTGTTTTTCCAAGAATTTCCATGTCGGTGCAGAAATACATATCAAGGGCGCATTCATCGATTTCGTTCTCCCTGAGAGCAACAAAAAAGGATGTTACAAGTGTCTAAAAAATATTTGCTTTGCTTTAATTCAGAGGCTGTGTTTTAACATAAACAATATTCATGAAATGCGAAAATAAATATGGAGTTAAACAAAGTACATTTTATGACGAAATTATGCCATATGAGTTCAGCCTGCATAGAATTGAGGGGAACCAAGCTAGAGGTCTTATAGGAAAAAGCCATTCCCCGTTCGAGCATCAACCACAATCATTGGTACGCATGCTTTTCATCTTAAGACGAGAGAGAGGGGCACAGACTTGAAGACAAGTACATTTTCGTTTCATTGAAAAAATTGCATGCATTTCCATTGGTTAAAGGGGGGCAATTGCCCTGAGGCCACATGCCGCAAAGGATCATGTAAATGTTAAATGGGTATTCCTATACCAATATGCACTTAAAACAACTTTTCTGAGGAAAAAAGCTAGTTTACTAGTCTGTGTCTAGTCTGCTTCCAATTCCATAGATTAGACTCTTTGATTCGTTGGCATGACGAATTTGGGGTTCGATGCAATAACGAAACAGCATTCAATAAAATAGGGGCCGGTTGTACTTGTGCTACCCAAGGGCCAAGCATGGTTCTAGGCGGGGCTTACTGAATGCTTCATTGCTCAACACAGGCGAGATAAAGATGGCTTGGGTTACAAAGGCCAAAGCAAGAGCCCAAGAAAAGACTTGCAAATGACTTGCACTTAGCTCAACCAATTAATATTTACAGCATCATATTTTTGAGGGAATAGCAACATTTCTGCACATTTTTTAAGAGATGCTGCTTCGTGGAATCCAATAGATTATAAATTAAAAGTATGATTCAAAATCTTAGAACGTACTTGATCCACAACAAAGAATTGTAATATTGGTTATCAAGAGTTTCCAGATCTTGCAAAACCAGCTTTTTCCCCAACATTCTCTTGTAAAATGGCATACTGAAGCCTCGGTCGATAAATTTCCCGTGATACAGCGCCTTCAAAATCGAAACAGTTACAGAATTATAACTTTGGGATAAGATGCACTTAAATAAAAGAATTAAGTATTTTCGACGAACTCCATAACAACCCCCTCCTATCTCAAATAATACAATTTTCAGAGCTGCAATGTGGTCACATCAAATTCTTTTTCGCCTGAAATTTCACTAGGAGATTGCGTGTTTCAAGCCATGGGCCTAATTGTTTATTTTTCCAATCTGTCGAGAGCTTGACTAGAATCAAAAGGATTTGTTGAAAAACGCATATACTCTCTAAAAATGTCATATGATGCTCACTTGAAGAGTGCTAATTCAGGAGGAGTACGGGGAAACACATCCCTCGCACAGGAGGGAGAGGCCTCCCTTATATAACGAGAAAGTAGGGACACACCCTTCATGGGAGGGGGGCCTCACTCAGATACTGAGAAGGAAATGATAAAAGACCATAAGATCATATTGTATTTTGGAACACTTACCATTGCAACAACTCGGCCGATGAATCTGAAATACTCGAGATGGTCAGGGTTCACATATGAACCTATGGGAAAAAAATTGACCGAATATCAGGGCATTTCATATGATCTCACGATCTTGTTAGTCAAGCAACTACGATGCTTCATCTTTCAGACATGACAGTGTGTGATCGTGTATCATATTTTGAAAATTCATCAAAAACATCAAACTGAATTGAAGTTGAATTTCATACCTGGATTAATTTGAAGAGTGTAGCTTCCTTGCCCAGTGTACTCAAAAAGGCAATACATCGGATTCATAAACTCGTGTGTCAGCAAGAAAAACCATTCCCTATATAAAACAAAGTTAATTTTAAAACAATTCTAAGGTAGCGAGCATCTGAACAATTCTCTAGTTTAAACAAGTTAATTGTCATCCTCCTAAGGTATCATAAGCAATTTCTACTTCAAGCATAAGAGTCATACTTCAAAGGTAGTTATCATTTCATCACACTAAACCATTTCCATTACAAATTAAGTGTCATCCTCCTTAATTAGATAGAATTATAAACAAATTTTATTTCAAGCAAAATAAGTGTCACACTTCTAATTTAGTAAGCATTCTAAACCATTATTATCACAATCGAAGGAAGTGTCATCCTCCTTAGGTAGATGCGTTATCAAAAATTTCCATTTCAAGTATTAGTGTCATACTTCAAAGGTAGCTAATATTATATCATTCTAAACAATTCCCATCAAAAGTTAAGTGTCGTACTTCTAAGGAAGTGAGTACTCAAGAAATTGAATAGCTGCAATGTCTGTGGGCTTTTGCATAGCTGGACTGAAACCAGATGTAGGTTTAAGTGCATTGACAAGGCTCGATGGAAAACTAAATAAAAAACGTCCAACAAGCATGAATACTACTGGTTACCTTGCTACACCGCCATAATCAAGCCCTTCTTCGCCTTTGAACATAATGTACAGTCTTCGAGTAAGATCACGTGGGTTGAGGCGCATAATCTACAACGTAAACGTAAATATCAATCACACACTGACACCTGTTAAACCGGTTTAAAACCTGTTTTTAACTAATCGATCGAGAAAGTGAAAACTAAGCCAAAGAGCAGGTGAAAAAAGACAATGTCATTTAAGATCGATTTTTCATCCCAAAGATTTGTACTTTAAGTTAGTCAATAATAATGTCTTGAATTTAAAATTGTCTGTTCATCATGGGATACCATGTAGCAATTGTCAAAATATTTCATGGAAATTATTCAATGCTCGATCTGACAAAAATAAACAAGCTGGACATTCAAGAATGGAGTAAATTTATTAAACTATTACATCCATTCCCGTCAATCTGGAAAACCCCAGTTTCAGCTTGAAAAGATGTGTCTGTCATAGGAAAAAGTGCATTTCTAAATTTTAATTTAAGGTTTGATTTAAATCCACAAGAATTTCATGAGTTTTCCAATATTTGGTTCGTTAATATTATACTCAACACTGGACGGGGCAATATTATGCTACACACTATTTTAATAAAAACATTGTTTATTGGAACCTAGGTGCTTTTAAGAATTTGTCCAGACGGCAGATCTAGACTAGTGGGTTAGTTAAGATACGACTTTGTCGAGTAAGGAATTCACCTGACCAAATGTACCTTTGTTGAAAATGTGGACTGCACTTCTCTAAAAAACCGGGGTTGTTTACGTCATGTAGTGAATTTCTTTGATTTATGTGGAATTAAGCTGACAGGATACATAAGTTGAAAGCAATTGCTAATTCAGAATTCAAGGCATTACCTGCTGGAAGGAATCCTCAAAAATGTTGTTTCTGCTGACTGGAATTTTGACGTGGCTTGGCAAAGCATAGTCCTATATGAAAGAACAGGGTTGATCAAAAGTGAGGAACAGGGTTGTAGGCCTATTGACGTAATCAATACTCTGTAAAAATACTTCAAATGGTCTCAGTGAGTGCAATGAAGCGACACAGTATGGAGCAGTGGAGCTAGATATATTTATGAATGAACAAATATTTGATCCAAGGTGGAGAGCTGGAGGAGACACCAATCAATACAGATCTCTCTGATGTTGAATTCTGCCGTACCTTGGTATGAGTTTTGTTTCCCTACCTGTCTATTAGGGGTATCTTTTTCAAATACATTAATCTAAGAAAGATTGACGCTAGATTGATGATGCAAGTTTTGACAAAAAATGATAAGTTTGTGGCATGGATAATTTACAGGTCATTTTTGTCCATAGTAAAATTCATGAAAATTAATGGTTCAAGAGCAAATGAGAATACAAAATAGATGTATGGTGTTTAAAGTTACCTGACACAGCCTTCTGAATTGCATCAATTTAAAGGGGAAACTTCTTTCGTATGCAATAGTCCCTAAGGCAGCTGATCGACTAAGAAGACAAAGTACTTTGATCAAACTGGATCAACATGGTAAAAGATTTCTAAAGAAACTGAACGGAGTGGAATAACAAACTTAAGAAAAGCAGATATAAGTTCTTTGCAAAAAGAAGTGGCGAAGACAAATGTCCTCAGCATAGTAGCTTCAAAACGCTAGCGTGACGTCTAACCCCAACCCCCTCCCATCCAAATTCGGCAAAATTGATCTCTCAATTTAATCAGAGCAGTAAACCTGCTTCGTATGATTGACGAGAAACAAAATTTCAATCTCTGAACAATTTTTCGACTGTCAGCAGAGGCTTTCCTTTTGTCAAATTTTAAAACCGAACTCATTTCAAATTCAACCAACTTCAACGCAAGTTGCGTGCATATGCGAATTACTAATCAATTACCAACAATACTTTACAATACTCAATTTGAAATAATGAAACAGATTGCCAAAAAGGCGACAATTAACACAATGAAACTTACTTGACTGCCTGTCCTGTGCGTGGGTCTAAAAATAAACAAAGAGCATCAAAGCTGTGCATAGATACAATGCATGCCAAACAAAAGTTTTGGTACACTACACTAGAATTTCACACATGTTCAGTAGCAGTCCCCCTTGAAACAATGTTGGATAACAAAAGTAACAAAGCTTAAAATTCACCCCCAGGTAGCTCTATCAGCTAGGGTAAGTAAAAGGCTTCTCAACCAACATGGTTTTTTAGGAGGAGGGGGATATTTCTGTATCTTACGGCCAGAAACTTTTATTTCATAAAATCTATAATTGACTGTATAGTGTTCCAAGGACTTTTAGCATGTATGGGAGCCATAAATAGTTGGAACAAAGAGCCAGTTATTCAAATATGCCGACCAGTTCATTACCCATCATTGCACAACCAGGCACCAAGAGGGTAATGTAACATGGTGACAAATCGCATACAAAAATCATCTGTAGTTATGAAGTTTTCTAGGTGAGGTTTTATTAAAGTCAAAATAGTATGGAGCCGTCAAGGTCTTAGAAAAATGATTAAAAAGCGTGTTAGATTAAATTTTAACTTCGGATACGAAAGATTTTCGACGTTAAAACAGGCTAGAATCCTTCCCGAAGCACGATCCCTAGGAAGACCAGCAAATCCATACTGTTCTAGTCTTTCGTTTTTTGCTTTCTTTACCATTAGATGCAAATATAATGATGCAAATATAGGTTAAAAACTAGTAGCTGATAAGGATTTCGTGTATAAATATGATATGACGATGTGATGGCTATATTCTCCATCGCCAAGAAAAAGAAAATAAGAAACGCAGAAACGAATGGAGAAGGGCAATTCAAAATGCTACTCCAGGTAAGACAAGGGATTTTGGAATGTTCATGAAACTTGTCTTATAGTATTGAACAACGTTTTCAGTTTTATTGCTTTGTTAAATATTTCAGACTACAAGAGAAAACAATCTAATCTGAAGAAAACATGAGTGGACCTCAGCAGTTTTTCTTAGAGCAGTGGAAAAACTTATTAGGAACCATTACGTACATATGCATGCACTTACCTGTAAATGTCGTTGTTCTAGTATTGTGGTCGACGAAGTAAGGGAGTCCTTCGGGAGTATACCGCATTTCCCAGCCGGCAGGGAGAGGCTGTGCGCTGCCAAGGATCCTGTTGTCAAAGAGATCAAATACTTGTAAGACTTACAAACAACATTAAAGAGTTGCTTGCAATTTTAAAGATCTTAACAAGTAGCCCACATTAGCCTTTATACAGGGGCGACGTGGCTCAAGTTCCGTAGAAGGGGCTTAGCGGGCGAAATTCCGACACAAAAGCGAAGCTATTAAGAAGCGTAGCCAATTAGCGTCGTGAAAAACGCAACATTTATTTTAATAAGGTCAAATATTATTTATAACAAAGTTTGTGAGACTAAAAAAAACAGAATTCAAATCCTTTTTCCGACCAAATTTATCTAGAAAATCGTCAAAAAATTCATCAATACAGTTTTTGAAGCAAGTGGGAAAAAGGCCAAAATCCCCCACATGAAGAAATAAAGGAGGGAACTTTACCACCCTGACCCTTATATGACCTTTCTTTATGGTAGTTTAAGATAGCAACAAATTGCTTAGGATATGAGTTTAACAGTCTTTGAAGAATATGCAGCAAACCTAGGTTAGTTTACTTAATTAAAGTTAGGTTATCTTTCAGCCTAAAGAAACAGTTTTCTAAAGATATTTCCATAGCGCAGTGGAGATTTCATAATGATATTTCCAAAGATCATACCCTGTTGTTCTTGGGTCTTCCCATTGTGTTTGCCTGGTGTTATGGTCAACGAAGTACACTCGACCACTGTCATGAACACGTTTTTCTAAATAGGATATTTTGCTATTAATATACAAGAAATAACTAAGGGCAGAAATAAAAGCTTAAAAAAAGTTAACAAAATACATTAAAGATATTAGGTACCTTCAAACACGTTAAAATAATATCTTTACATATATTTTGAATTTTAAGAGTCTTATTTTAGTTTCAATAGTCTTTCATCTGAAACTTACTGATCTGTTGACACTGCCCTCTAAACTTATGTCCAAAACTTGACTTAACTGGTTAACTCCGTCTTTTTAAATTCAAGATACATGAATCAAGGTGATTCGCAGCAAGTAAAAAAATGAATAAAGATATAAACAAAGAACCAAAGAAAATAGTTTATAGAGCCAAACTTTCAAGGAAGATGCTTATTCTTCATAACGCAGATTTGCGAAGGAGCATCGAACTATATACCTGCTAGAATTGATGTGATTTCAAGTCACGCGATTTAACTTGCTATTTTACTTACCCCAGCCTGGTGGAAGGGGGCCAAGTGGGTCATTTGTTGCTGGCGGGGCAGGGGCTCCCCCAGCAGGTTGATTTTGTTGATTTTGTTGATTCTGACGAGAAAGAAGATCATCAAAACTCCCATAGACATAAAATGCTTAAATGAGACAAAAAAAAGTTTAGATTGAGACATATATAAATAAAAGACTATTGAACAACTATTTAAGTAAGCTGAAACGACGCAAATGTTCCTTCGTGTAACGAGCTAATAGCAAGGAAAAGGGAACAATATCGATTAATCGGCAGACATGTCATTCTTCGGCAGCATGAATAACTGTCAGACTGCACCATTACTTTCATCCTAAAATGCACTATCCGAAACCTGTTTTCAAAATAATATGGTCGAAAAAGCTTTCTGCGGTCTAATGCGGTCTTAAATTTCCATTAGCGTTACTCTTGAAACGACTCTTGCATTTTCAAATTTGAATAATGCCAGGGGTGTTGAGCCAAGACGCTCTTTGGACTAAGGGTAGGCATTTACCTTTTCCTGCTATTGAGAAATTTATTGCGAGAGTTCTATTTTGTCCCCTTTAAAGAGCTACACCCCTGGTTAGAGCATCATAAATATACCCGCCATTTCTTTAACTTAGATTTTGACATAAAGACGGACATAAGATGGCGCTAAAGACGATATAGCTAACCAATACATAAGTTCTGATTCTGTGGTTCAAAGCTTGTTGCAACGGGTTTTGATAATCGAAGCGCATCACTTACCAGCAGAAGGTATCTTTGCTGATACTGTTCCCGTTCTTGGGTGACGTGTCTTTCCTGGTTCGACCTCCATTGATTGTAGTTATTCACTGATTCTACGGTAGGTCTCTGCCAAGTAGTCGTTCTTGAATTATGGTCAACATAATACGTCCGGCCCCTTGCATCAACCCTTCGCTCCCATCTGCAAGAAAAACACTGCGATCATAACAACATTCGAAAGATTTCAAGAGGAAATCACCAGATAGTGACAGAGAAACCACCTGAAATTTCTGATTTTAGCCTCACTTAATTTCATATAACAATTCATATAAACTCATGAAGAACTTATGCTTCACATTATAACTGCGAGTTGCAACTTAGAGCAGTACTGTTCTATGCAGCGAAGCTCGTGCAGTTCTGTCTATACGGCGTCGAGCACAATATGACAGACTGGTCAACAACTTTTTTTAGTAGAGCTAAGAAAATCATGATGGATTCCTCCGTAGGCGTCACATTCTAAAACGAATTAATGACAGCCTTAAACAAAAATAATTTCTATTTTAGATTATCAACAGTAAAAAAAGACCTAAAATCACGTGGCAGAAAGCCCAAGAACAGATAAATGGGATTAATTGATGCACAAGTCTAGTCGAAGTCAAGAAAATTGTTTATATCCTCCCTTATGATACTCTTCTTAAAACATTGGAAATGGGCGTTGCCTTATGGCATTTACTATCATTCTATTACTTTCAACGATCTTTATCGCAGTTTTAGCCTTGGGTCAGTCAATGGACACTGACATCAGTGTCATAAAACACGAAATAGCATCTAAGTATGTGCAATAGGCGATACACCCAGTATTATTATTGCAATTACAGAACTATTACAAAAACAATTCGATGAACTTGGATACGAACCCTGATGGAAGAGGTTGAGGCCGTTCCCAACTGGTGCATCTGGTTGTATGATCAACATAATACGGTCTCCCATACTGATCGAATCTCCGTTCCCATCTAAAAATCAAAATTAACAAATTATCAGAGGCCATACTGATCGAATCTCCGTTCCCATCTAAAAATCAAAATTAACAAAAAATCAGAGGCCAGGAAAACAGTATTGATGTGGTCTGTGAAGATGACTCAGTGGTTTGGGTCGCGGACTACTGATCCAAAGCCCCCCCAATATTATCCGAAGCCCCCCATCCCCCCAATTTCGTGAGGTTAAAATCATAATAAGCAATGACCGCAACATCAATATGCGTACGATTGAGCTGTGGACCTGAAAACTAACTTCACAAGCTAAATAGTAACAAATATGAGATTATCAGTATATTCAAAGCTGTTTCTCTCAAATTGTTGCCCGTGAGCGACATAATCATTTGAAATTCGCTATGACGTAATTCCATACAGTTCAACAGGTGCAAATAACGTCTTGTCTTCTATGCTTTCAAAACTCCCATTGGTTTCTAGTAGCTTTTATGATTTTATTCAAAACAGATTTATTAAATTCAAGGGTGAACCAATTAAATATTAATTTATATTCATCGCAATAGCAAAGAGGAGAAAGGATTCTTGGAACCACAAAAATCATTATAGCCAAATTTGAAAATATTATTGCTATTTAATACCGAAATGGTAAATTGAAATGATTTATTTTACCCTGCAGGAAGAGGTTCTTCAGCAGCCCCACTGGTAGCAGTAGGTGATCCATTCGGTGGTCCATTGGCCGGCCTATTTGCAGGCGGGGCGCCAGCAGCTGGAAAAAAGCAAATTTGTCATCCGGCTAATTTAAAAAACAACAAACGACAGTTACAACTACCATAAAAATAAAATGATTAAATTTAGAACCTAATTCACAGTGGAAATAAACTTACACAAAATATATCATTTGAAAATGTTAGGGAAATGCTTTTATCTTTTAAATATCGAGAAAATCGAAGAGTGATTCACATGAGTCATATATAATTCTGAACTTCTGGATGACAATTCATTTTTCTTAAAAATAGACGTTCTTAAAAAAAGTTGAAATTTGAAAGAAATTTTACAACCACAGCAAAAATTCATGACAGCATTTCAAGAACAGCATTCAAGAATAGCCTATAGCAAATAAGAATCAACTAATTTGATATTACTTTGAGACGAGTTGTTCCTCAATATTCTTTAACTTTAAACAATATATAGAATTTATATTTCTTACAAAATTACAATTCAATAATAGTATCTTGAAGCTGAGCGAAATAACAAGATTAACCCAAATGGCTATATCCACCCCAGTATAAGGGGAAGGAGGGTGATTATTCTAAAACATGGAACACGGAAAAGTGAAATATAATAACAATTTAACACAAGGACTTGGGCATCTCAGGAAAGGGTATTTTGTTTACTTCGTTTTGAAATGTCATAGGCATTCTGTTGTTCAGGGTTGAAAATTGCCATGCTAAAGGCCACTCAATAACTTAGAAGTAATAGCGATGACGTCACAAAAACCATTTGGAGAATTTTTCAATTTTGACCCCATAACCTAGAAGAGCATCATGAAGTATTCCTAAATATGCAAAATCAGTTGAAGATATTACAAATGGGCTGAGATATTACAAATGAGCACAGGCTCTAGCCCTTTAATTCGTCTTGGTTCATAACTTTATGAACCAGGTCAGAATAACAGTAATTCGTTAGCAAACTTGAAATTTTTAACCGACAGAATCTCACTTAACTTTTAATATAACTAACTGGTTTTGCCAAGGTGAAGGTATTTTATAATGCTCTCTCAGGTTACGAGATCAAAACATAAGTATTCTAAAAATAGATTTTAGAATGACATCACAATTTGGCCCTCTTTTCGGTCTCACCTGACAAAGAGGTATTGCTGTTACCACTGCTGTTCAAAGGGGCTTGGGTTACACTGTGTCTGTTGCTGTTCGCCGGCTGTGGCGGCCGTGGGGGCTGTGCTCTTGGAACAGTAGCAGCTCGATTCAGCGGCTGGTTGCTCGGGCTTGTGGGACTGCTTTCTCCAGCCACTGACCGACGGTTGGCATTAGACTGCGGAGGGCTTCCTCTTGCAGCCGCACTTCCATTACTCACATTTCTAGTGTAAACAATAACAGGGCGTTATCGATGTGATCAGTTGAAAATAAAAAGTCAGCATCTACATCAATGATATGAAAATCTTTGCAAAATATCCAAATCTAAGTTCAAAGCACGAGAAAACAAAACGAAAACAAGGTGCAGTTGAATCCTATTGAGTTGTGTCTCGGATACCCCAGACTGTCACTAACTCGGATTTAATTTCATTTCCAATTTGATCTTGCTACCTTATTCAAGCCAAAAGTGGTACTCCAGCTAAGCTAGAAAATTTCCTTATCCACCCAACCCCCTTGTTCCGAAGGTCCATCTAAAGGCGATTCAACTATAAGGCTTAAGATAATGAAAATGGTGAAAATAGGTTCAACTCACGAAAGAATATCATTCCTCGGTCTGAACGCATCTATATCCAAAGATAATCCAGTCAATACAATTTCGATGTCACCAACCACAGTCTCATTCACTGCCAAGAGGGGAAGTTTAAGCGCCAGGTTTGTTACTACGGAAAATATAGACTGATTAAAGACTGGGCATAATCATAATCATGTGCCGATTTATTTCACATTTTACTATTTTGATTCTAAAGATACTCACTTAGACAATTAATGTCACGTCGTTAATTGATAAAAATATTTATCGCAAATTTATCTTGTTAACTGCCAGTTGTTCAGAGTCTCGTTTCGTCACTTGAACAATATCATCTATTGGCTACCAGAAGTATTTTGTTCACTATCGATCGAAGTAAAACTATCTTTGTAATTACAGCAAAGAATACACAGTTTACGTTAAACAAATTTACTGTTTTGAAAGAGTTTGATAATTTGAACAGTTGCACTTACAAGTCCCATTGTTCGCTTTGAGCAAATCATACAAATCGACTTTTGTTGACCCAAGCAGTGCGTCGCTTTTGATCGTCTGCTTGTTGAAAACTTTGAGTTCCAAAATGCTATGTGGTGTTATCAAGCTGTAAAAGAAAAAACTTGCTCAAACTAAGCAAATTAAATGCAAAGATAAAGATATATGATCTTAAGGGCCCGTTAGTTTTTCACGTAAAGACACTTGGCTACACTTTCCTAGTTGATTCACTAGCCGCATTCGTTTTAAACAATATTCATAAAATTCCACCGAATTTCTAAAATTATGCCTTCCTGAGATTCATAAAGGTCTAAAATTATGCCTTTATCGATCGAAATATCTAGTGATTACAAATACTTGTACACCAACAAATATATAAAAATCCCGAAAAGAAATTTTGGTAGGGTAGAAACTTGATTTTTGTGTCAACAAAACTGACAAAGGGAGAGTGGGTGGATCAACGAAAAGGTCGTATCAATAATGCCATTAGATTTTGCTGTACGTTTCTTGGAGTATCATCTAAAACACGGTTTCAGAGTGAATCACTTTAAAAATACTACTCTCTTGGTCAAAGGCTTCAAAGTTGAAACGATTCCTAACCATGCAAAATTTTAGCCTAGTATTTATTAGGTTGCGCATAACTCAGCTCAATTAATTGCCTTTTAGTAATTGAGTTATAGATTAAAAATAGATCTTGATTATTAAATGATACAATTATTGTTGGTGATTAGTAATATAAATAATAATGGATAACAAATGAGTAAGACAAACATTGTAAAGTCTTCTGTCCACTTCGGCTCCCATGTCTTTCGCGCAACATCTGTTTTCCTTGGCCGCTGACCATCCACAACAAGCTCTGCATATGGATCAATCTTGCTCCCTGAAAGAAAAAGCCATTGACATGTTTTGAAGACAATGGAATAAAAAACATAGAAATAAAAAACAATGGCCTACCTGCTTGCTATTATCAATCCATAACACAATAAAAACAGCCTTCAAAAAGTACCTGTGCCAGTAGGGGTCATTTCATCAACCCAGACATGTCACCCACTATCTCAAATTTGTCCCATTTTAGATACACATGAACATGTTAATGAAACATAGAGAATCTCTGAATATCTCAATTGGATCCAAAACTAGCGCCAGTTTTCTGAAGGCCTGGCAGTCTTACTCAAGAAATTTCCCTCATATAGCCTGTTCATTTTTATGATCTCAAAATCTACTGTCTTAAACCCACAACATGCACATATTTCGCTATGATTGACAAATTTTTAAATGGACTCAGAACCATTTTGATTAATATAAGCGAGTGGGCAGAGAACTTGACCTAATTGTTCACACAGGACTGTCTGCCAAGCGCCAATGGGGGGGGGAGGTCGGACTCTTCCTGCCAAATTAATTATCATACACTCTTCACATGAAAATATATTTATCACAAAAATGATTGTACAACAGGTCTAGTTGAAAGAATTAAACAGAACATTGATGTTTCACTACAAAAATGGAGTTATTGGAACAAAGATTGCATATATGGCAATCTCTAGCACTAGTTGCAAGGGAAGTATGGAGCCTACTCAGAAAAAATTGTTTCTAGGTAAATTCCTTGGCATTGAGAATATCCTGGCAAACGTTTCATAGAAAAAAGAGTAACAATGTTTTTCTGTGCATTATTTTAAAAAGTCTTTGCTGTGACTCTAAATTGATTTATCATTACATAATAACAATTATTTTCAAAAAAGCAAAGCTGGCTTTATGTAAGCAGTTCATGAAACCTGAGCTTATATTGGTTTTACACCAGTTGCATAACATTAAGGAAAAAAATCTGCAAGTGTGAATTGTCTGAAGCAAGGAGCAGTCGATTGGGTCATTTACTTTTCCATTAAAATGTCAATCTATAAGCAAACAGGGTAGGTTGCCTCTCATCAGAAAAAAGGATTCAGCTTACAAAAGGTATTTGGAACCCCTACACACAAAATTCTTAAAAATTATGCACCAATCAAGAGCAGCTATCAAATTTAGTAACATGTCCGATTTCATGTGCCCCCAGGAAAAAGAAAACTATTTAGGGAAAGGCAAGACCGATGTTTGATTTTAGTCTGCACTTGGAAAGTATATTTGCTAGCAAATTTCTTCTGGCTATTAAAGTACATACTCAAATTACAAATCAGTAGAAATCACTTCAGGAAGAACTAACTGGCCACAAATCTACTCACCAAACCAGCTACCACTGCCATCTCTAAGTTTAGCTCCATTTACTGAAAAGAAAATAGTAAATCATAAAATGAGTGTCCAACAAAATGATACAAAAAGTATAAACAGTGTGATAATAGAAGAACTTCATCCTTCCCTGTTTACTAGAAGAATTTAATAGATAAATTGAGGCAATAAAAAAGATAGAGACATTTGAGGCAATATAAAAGAGGCCAATTCCATAAGTGTTGCAACGCAAACCTTTGTTTCATTTAATTAAGAACAAACTTTAAATAGCATTTAAGTGTAGCAAAACCTAAAGGTATTTATGGAAATTACAAAAGAAAAAGGAACCTTAATTTACCTTTGCAATGCAGTTGATAAAAAGACCTAAAAGGGAAAAGAAAACTGTGTTACTTAAGCAAGTTGTGCTAAAATTGGTTTTCAAATACTGAAATTTGATTATATATATTTTCTGGTTGATGCCCAATTGAAAAGTTGGATCAATTTTGCAATGCTTTATTTACACTAATTTGCCATCACTACTTGTTTTATCAATGTCACTTAATACATAAACATCAAAATCAGTACTACCTTGGTGGAACTGCTGCGGCTTCACCCATAATCTGTTAGCTGCAGAGTTTGCAACAAAATCTACAATAAAGAAGAAAGAACATACAAATGTCTTGCACTATGACTTCCAATTTAAACCAAGTTCATAGTTTATGCATTACATCAAGACTTACACTCTAACACAGTTTTTTTTCTTGGCTGGAGGCAACAGCTTGTCTAATGTCAGCTTGCCAAAGAGCTAGAGTACACTAAGTTTTGGGCCATAGCATTAACAGTCGTGTGTTTTGCATACTGGAGTTTATTCTGTTTTCCACAAACCTGTAAGCCTTGAACTTATCAAGTTGAGAAATCTTCCACTAAACTGTTCCAACCACTGTACGAAAAATTTCTTAGCAAAAGTCGACTTTCAAGCCACCATATTACAGACACCCATTAAAGAAAAACGGCCATAGGTACACAATAAGAATCTTCAATGTCAGATACAAATCACAGTTAAAAGGATTCCATATTGGCCCACCCCCCTCACACACACAAACACAAAACACACAAAACAGTACCAAAGGAATATATTTCTTCATTACAGTAGTCTGGAATCAAATGTCTCCCTGCTAAATTTTATTTCGTCAAGGACATCCTCATTCCACCCATCCTGAAAAAATTCATCCATCTTTATTCCAGAAACCCCCTCCTTATTATAAATTTTTAATTCTCATCATCAAGAAACTGGAGAAATCTTATTTTTGAGTTTGTTCACATTTGTATGACTTGTGAAACCATAGCCATTGTCTTCAAAATTGCTGTTTTTTAAGTTACCATCCAGCCAGTTCTTTGCAATTTGGAACATTTTAAACCCACATCTGTTTATTCCTGACTTAATAGTAATATGGAACTTAAATTTGTTTCATATTACCAAACAAACTGAATTATCTATTGGAAGAAAGTGAACATTTTATATTCAAATATAATTCTATGCTTTGCATGCTGTCAAATCAGAAAATCTGCTGACCATTTATTACACAACAAGTATAAAAACATTTGATAAAACAATATTTCATGGGAGCTCTTTGTGCCTGAGAAGGTTTAATGTATTGCAGGGCAACTGTCTTGTTCAATAAAAACACGAGTATACAAATATGTAAATCAAGTTATTATTTGAGTGGTCTCATACAGGCCTGGCCGTTTGTATTTTTATAGGCGAGCTGTGAATCGCTCCCCTCATTTGCTGAGGCGAGCTAAATCAGTAACACATAGAATGTACTTTAAAGACAATCGACAGATGACTTAATAAGCCCCTTTAGTATCTGTCGGTTGCCTTAATGTAATTGCCTCAGTCAGGAGTGTGCTGTTTTACTTCTTTCAATTTGTATTTGCTTTAACCGTGACTTAGGCACCCCCTTTACTTTAAGTATTTAAAAGAACAGACTTTTTCAGTTTCATGTAAAGCTGGCACAACACAAAAACAACCATTCTCTTGCAAAACAATCTTTTTGTTGTACAGAATTTGAAAATTTTTTTTAAAACAAGCTGAAGTTATACGTCTAGCACTCTTCAGAGGATAAAACGTCAGAACAAAGATGGAAAACTTTACGCTAAAATACCCAGTTTTGGATCGAAATAGGCCAATCAGAAAGCGCGAGCACATGACTGTTGAGGTTGTCCAATCAGTGCCGCTTTCCTATTGAAAATGTTACCAACGGAGTCCTAAGGTGAAAACGAACTCACTTATGTCTACACAAAAGCGGTTGGTCATGTTTATATAGTAGATAGATTCACAAACTGCTAGATGGAACGATGATCAGGCTTTGCCAATAATGCCAAACATGTTGCCGTTATAGTTTTCACCCAATCTGGGTTTTTCAGTAAATGCCGCTGGATAGTGGAATTCCATGTTTTGGTTGTCGTTTTTGATCTGCAAGACAGAGTACCTTGTTCTCTTTGAGGCATAGTTTTGTTTCTATTACTGGGAGGGACCTGCTGTCTTATTATATCCCCAATCTACAATTCCTACCAATTTCTTCGACTTTCCTTCCAAAAATATTCCTGTTTTCTTAAGATTGAAAGGTTCTAATTCTACAAATGTACCTTTCGGTTAACTATCGTTTTCCAAATAGATCGAAGTTTATGCCTATCATAACAAAAACCGCCCAACAAGCAAAAAGTTAATTGCAAAAAATGCAATGACGGGAGAAATCGCTGTTACAAAAATAAACCAATTAACCCTTGTGCGTTTTCATAATTCTCTGAATAGGAAATTTTAGGGGAGCGATTCTTCCTTCATGTTCTGTTTAGGAGAGCAATTCATAGCTCGCCTCAGGTTGCGAGGGGAGCGTGGAGGCGAGCGCGAGCTATTGCTCGCCTCAAACGGCCAGGCCTGCTCATAAAGGGGCAGCTTTATTCCCCTTTATCTGCAAAGCAAATATAATAATTCAAGTTCTGGTAAAGCCAAGGACAATTAACTTCAGGACACAAATTTGATTCCATTGAACTCCAACAAAGATGTTGAAGAAAATGATGTGAGCACATGTTAACTGAATTATAGAAAAATACACATGCTAAAGCAGAAATTTTGAACACCAATGTGCAGAAAACCATGAAAGCTTGAAATTCACATGCAATTAGTAAAACAAATAAAAATATATTGCAAAAAATAATTGAAGAAAACAGTGCTTCACAACTTTTACATTTTTTTCTAATTTAAAACGGACAGTGTTCCATAATTATGTGTGTTTTCATCATGCTAATAAATGATATGCAGAATTTAGACTATGATATTGATGCAAAATATCAGGTACTCATTGGAATAACCGAAACTGCTAATCTCATAAAACTTTAACAATCATTAAAACAAAACTTGTCTAGTGTCTCAAGACTTCAGACAAAAAGTCAAAACACAAAGATGATAAAATCCAGTATGACTTTGCAAATGCCAAATTATATATATATTAATAAATAAATAAATATATCATAAAGAAATTTTTTGCACAAAGTTGGCAAGTTGTAAAGTTGGATGCAACTTTACACATATATAAAAACTCTAAAAACATGGAAAATTTAAAATGGAAAACATTGAAATTGAAGTTTTTCAATTTCAGCCATGCCATCAAATTTTTCAATTTTTACAAGTTTTACTGGGTTTAATTGGGTGCTTAACTTTAGTTTCATTTCATTTTGTCACATTGGTGTCACTACAGCACTGAATATTTTTACATGTAGTGCAAAACTTTTCTTTTATATATTTAGTCATAGGGAACATAGACTTTGGTCTAAACACTTCACATAGCTGATATTTATATATAAGCACCTAAAAAGTAAATTATCCAAGAAGGCTCTACACAATAAACATCTTACTTGAATAGGGCATTTTTTATCTTAAGATATTGAAAATTAAGTTTTTTGAAACAGTTTATGGATTTCAAAGCATACCTAATGGAATCTCATCATGATAAAATATCCCATTTCATACTGATTATAAAGTATAATATCATGCTTTTAGCATTGATATTTCAGTATTAAATGGGCATCCAATTTCCTAAGAATTACCAACTTGGCATAGAATAATGAAGAGATGCATCATGCATGCCTGGGGACATCAAAAGTCGTTTACAGAAAAACTTTGATCAAATATTACAGATGCCATTCGAACAGAAATCATGAATAGTTTGTTGATACTATGGTAGTTTTAAAGATTTGCTATCAAGCATATTAGAGTGAGAATAATTCTCATTAAAAAAATTCATCTTCCGCTATTGCCATATAAAGAACAGCTTTAAAATTACAATAAAATCTGTTTAAATGACAGCTTTTGTGCTATGCTTGCATCAGTAATTCCTCTCATTGCATGTTTTGATATATATATATATATTTATGTTTTAAAATATATGTTTAGATGTTAATATATAATATAACTAGTAAAATGATTTCGTTTGATTTGAATAAAAAACAATAAATATATACATTGTTTTATCAAAAATTTGTTTTTAAGATTTTTTATTTACCTGAGTGCAATGGAGATTAATATTTCTAATGAATTTTGTGTTTCCTTACTTACAAACAAAAATCAAACAATTTGACTGAATGATCATTCAATTTTTTCAGAAATTTAACATTTTCCCCTGCAGATTAAAGCCCAACTTTTGACTATAGGGAGTTTCGATAGAAAGAAAAAAATTTCGATTCCCCTCCCCCAATGAAACTAACTTATCAGATATGGAATAACAATAATGAAGTGATCAACAATGATCAACAATCATAGAAAAAATTTCTGAAACTGCAACTTAAATTAATGGCGTGCTTTTTGCGTTACCTTAACAACATCTTTTTTATGATTCATATGCTAGAAACATGCAGATAGGGATGCTTATTTAGAGCAAGTACTGAAAATGAATGCTTAATCCTCCGGGGCCAATTTTTGACTCTAAATTCAAACCATATTCCTATCATAACATTGTCCACCACAATAAGAATAAACAGAAAGTAATATTGGGCTGCAAACACAAAGTTTTTGCGTGAAAGTCACTTTATTTTCTTGCAGAAATTGATCGTATCGTGCAGAAATTTAAGTGTTATCTTGATCGGGTTTATTCGTGTGAAATCCAGAGCGACGGACAAAATTCTTCCGTATGCCAGGAACGGCACATATGGTGTCCACCAAATACATAATTATTTCCCTTCTCAGCTGCAGAAGAAGAGCAGATTGCTATGCATTCACTTAACTTTATATTTAGGAAACATCGTTAGCTGAACATCTGAATGATTAATTAACAAAATCGGGTCATTCTGCGATGCGCTATAAATGACAGGCGGAGAAAGTCCAATGAGTAGATGTGATAAATAAAAATTTGGATTGCTGCAATCTAAATAAAGATCTTACCACTTAACCATATCTTCTTTATTCAAAACCAAACTACAAGTATATTTTTATCGAGATCAGCTATTGAGTCCTTGCGATTTCCACATTATTTATCATTCCTTCCTTGCTTTTCTGTTCTCGTTTTACTTCGTTAGGCCTAATAATCAACCAAATGTAAAACACTGTATCATGTCACGTGACATTCAGATTCTTCTAATGCGTAGTTTTTGCAAAGGCTTATGGGAGAATACAGACAGTGACGCAATGACCAAGAAAAACCCATAACAATGGAGATACTTCAAAAGAGTTTCGGACTTTGAGTAAAATCATGCGAAATCTATTTTCTGGAATTTTAGACTTTTAACCACATAACATGAAAGAACATCTTGGAATACATTGGAACCTCTAAGACACCTTTTAAAGCGGGCATCTCTCTAAGACGGACAGAAAATCAATTCAACATGATACTTAACAATTCAACTATTAATTTCAAGATAATATGAGAAAAAAATACAATAATGAACAACAAAAAGACACTTTGAAAGTAACAAAACGACACCGAGAAACGTAACAGACAAAAGCCGAATGAAAGGATGCTCGACAGGGTGCAAATTAGCATACGCTCAATTTTTGATAAGAAACTGGCTATAAGAAACGTGTACTGGACAGTCAGAAAAAATTAAGAAATTTCAGTACTCGAAGAAAAAATTAAGAAGCTATTAAATCGTGATAAAACTGACAACAAAGAAATTTTGTAAAATCCAAAGACATGATTGCCCTGTTGGCCTAGAACTTGAAGTGCCACTGAATTGAAAAGAACAAAAAAATTTATTGATGTTCTAAGTCAAGTCAGTGCTCCTGAATCCGATGGTGAAGTTCATTTTTCGGAATTGTGAAGTGTTTTGAAGCTACAACGCTTCAAAGTTGCGATTTTCAAGACTTTGGTCTGTGAGGAATTTCAGGAATGTGTGACGCATTAACGTTTACAAGTCGCGGAAGTGATGCCGGTGTCATATGCGTTTCGGTAACCTTATGCATTTCGGTCCGGGTGCTCAAACGCATGGCAATTTTGGTTATGCAAAATCGTACCCAAGCACTTAAACAATAGAGTACCAAAACGAATGGTAAAATTTAGCATGCAAAACGGTCCGGGCACACAAACGCATGGCAATTTTGTTATACAAAAACGTACCAAAGCACTTAAATAATAGGGTACCAAAACGAATGGTGGAATTTAGCATGCAAAATGGTCCCGGTACACAAACGCATGGCTATTTTTCTTATACAAAAACGTACCCAAGCTTTTAAAAAACAGGGAACCGAAACGAATGGTTGAATTTAGCATGCGAACCGGTCTTGGAACACAAATGTTCTTGTTTATATTGTTCAGAACGTAAAGAACAATCAAATTATTTCTAACAGGGGGTACTAACAAGAAGCAGTGCTGTGATTTCCCTTGTTAAGTTTATACAAAAAAGTAAAACATTAATGGCGACTCCAAAGTTTTTTTGATTGAAAAATGTGAAATTTTAAACTCAAAAAAGCATTGTGTTCAATTTGTTATTTATAACGTGTCATAATATCGCACTACGATGAAATCACATGATTTGAAACACATTGCGTTTTACAATGTTACACTTTTGCATAGGGTACCAAAACGCATATTACACCGGCTTCAGTACTGAAAACTATATTTCGAGTGCGATAAAAAACCAGAAAACGTGAAGTGGATGGAAATAATGCGATACTTGTGCTCTAAATATCATTAGCTGTCTAATTACAAGACACGTGAAAGGTATTTTCTTGCAAAAATTTCGAGCCCATACGAAATAAACAAACTTTTTGCGTGCAGTTTTTACCAAGACTTCATGCCGATCATTTACCTTTTGTGAATTATTGAGTGTGTCGAATAAGAATGCTTTTACAAACAGCTTTACAATTATGAATGAAAGTGAGCAAATTAATAAAGGGAAAAAGTGGATCTATTATAGAACCACACAAATTGCACATTTTTCGGCGCTTTTCCCACTTTCCAATTTGCGTTGCCACTGTCAAAGCATCAGTTATCGCCAGGGCCGTCAAGATAGGATAAATTGCCCCAAGGCCTCGTGGTCAGGGGGCCTCAAAAAGTAAAGAAGTTCATTTCAAATGGAATTGATTAAAAGTAACAAAATTATGCCTTAAAAAGTAAAACTTTTAAACGTTTGCAAGAAAAAAAATCAATTTAAACCAATCTAGAATTCGTGGTTGCAAATATCTTTTCGCCTATCCTTTTTGGCTTCCAGAACGTCTAGGCGTCCCTGGTTATAGCAGTAGCATCATTGTTAGCATCATTGTCAAGGTATCGTGATCGAAAATGAAATTATGAAAATACCTTGCTTTATCTGGATCCTTGTTCTCCAGTCTACAAGTAGCACGGTGAGATATTTTTAAGCGTCTATTCACACCCTATCTTTTTTGGCGTATCAAAATGCATATCTCTACCAAGTTCCATGCTGATATCGCGATCTAATGGCTAAATTATGTCAATTACTGCTTAGAGGTTTGGAACCTAGTACCCCACTCTATAAATAGCACAAGGGGATATTTTTCAGCGTCTATTCAAACCCTATCTTTTTGGCGTATCAAACTGCCTATTTCTATCAAGTTTCATGCTTGTATCATGTTTTACACAATTTGTAACTTTTTATCTTCTTACAGCCCTCACTGTGGCTGAATTGACTTTATAAATCTTAATGCGTCACTCGCCCCAGCCTCTTTTCGCACGACCTACTCGCAAAAGAACCCCATAAACCCCTATTTGTGGGCCCCAAATTAAAAAACTAAACTTTTTTTGAAATCAGCGATGATTAGTCTACCAGAATCAACAATAAAAAAAATTTAAATTTTTTCAATTCAGTGGCACTTTAAGACAAGAATAAAAATACACTCCCCGCGTCTAAATACAGCATCAGAACGGAAGCGAATCTCTTGACGTGTAAAAAAGGTCACAAAGATTTCATAACATCATTCATGACATCATAATTAAGAAACTCTTAAGAAACAATGAGCATTGAAATTTCCAGAACATCAAGAAACTGGAGTACTAAACATCGACCTTTGTTTCTTATAACAAAATGAGTACATTGACAATATTAATGGAGTTTCAATGTTTGTAGCTGCCAAAATCATCCCGTTTGAGACAATGTTTAATTTGTCATCACCAAACAACAAAAGGTTACTGAGTGCCTCGTTGTCCAAAAGTTAAAGTCCAAAGCTGAAAAGTCCAAAGTCTCCATGCTGACCAAAGAGATATATACGAGCATTTCCTGCCAGTGGCAGTTTTAGGAACTGCGGGCCCCGGGGTCAAACAACATCTGCGGGGCCCAGGGCCAAAACATCTGCGGCCAAAAACATCTGCGGGGCCCTTGTTCTTTACAATTCCATCTTTTTGGTGTGGGACCCCTTTTAGCTATCATAAGCGCGGGCCTGGGGCCATGGCTCCCTGGACCCCCTCAAAACCGCCACTCTTTCCTGCCAAAGATGTGTTTTAAGGTTTATGTCACATCTCTCTTCAGTAGATTTCCGAAAAGGTCAAATGGTGATCTAGTTAAGGCTTTATTTATAGGCCACACGATATCGGGGGCGTCAGAACCGGGGCTCACCAAGGTCACGTGACTCCTGAATTTTGGAAACATACCCTTTCACAATACCGCCTTGGCTACAACTTTTGATAAAGTGCCCCTTTTTCTGACACATACCACTTCAACCTACCTGTGCCCCTCCACTATTACAAGCACAAGAAACAGAATGTGAGAGACAGTAAAAAGTCATCAAAATCATATATTTACATAACATTATGATGCAAATTTTTTGCAACCTTTTGGCTACAAATTTGATTTCATTTACTTAAAATCCAATTTTGAGCATTGTGAGTAAATCCTAGAAAAAATCGATCCGTGTAAAAATTGAAATACGCTCCTAATAAATACAATGGAAATTTACAGTTCACTCCTACAGTAAAACACTTTTACATCCAATTAAAACGACTATAAGTATTTACTCTAGAAAATCAAACCCGTGAATTTTTTGCATACGACGCAAGTCTAGGGGCAGGAATGATCTGCATAAAATTCTCATCAGAGTATCAAAAGTTGGAAAAGCAATGCCACATTTGAGGTGCGATAATCCTTTCACAGACCTTTTCCAGGAACGTGGTTGTGGGACTGGGCTGCATGTCGATGACTATATAAGGCGTTTGTATGCAAATATTCTAATACACAAATGATTAATAAAAAAGGAAAAAAACTTGGTTCTCGTGTATGTGCAGATGAGTTACAAATTAATGTTTCTGTTTTATATCTAGACGATCGAGTTTTTTGGAATACCAGGAATGGAAACCATTTTGGAAAATATTGGCATCTGGCTGGCACATAAAACAACCAGCCGCAACAAATTATAGAACACGCCCTTTTGAAGGTAAGGAAACGTCAATTTACAAACAGGGAACACCCATTTTACCGATTGTAAACGCCTGACTAGGTACTCTGCCAATGTTTTATCCTTCTCTCAACATTATCACGTCAAATTTGGAGTTAATTAACACAGTCGATAGCGAGGGACCCTGTTTGCATCAATCGCGGAATCCACCGTTCTACGAATAGGTCTTGTGCGAAAGAGAGCCTGTTTCTAACTGACTGAATACAAATCAGATCAGTATTTTAAAGTACATTGAAATGTTAGAGGACAGAGTATTAAATGACGCAGAAACTACTGCAAAGCGCCACGTAAGTGTCGACAGGCTCATTATTAAGAAAAATTAACTTGATTCAAAGCAGTTGGAGCTAGCTTTACTAAAGCCAAAAGTACATCTCTTGATTGAAGAGATTTTGGAGGAAATCGTTCTATTTAACCCCTTTTCCAATGTCCACCTCTCGAAGATATTGTTGACATGAATCGTTGCTGCGTCCTATCTCATTCGAATACAGCCCCTGTCAAGGCTCGATCGCGAGGAACAGGTTTATTTCTGAGAGTTAAGCAGATGATTTTTGCGACTGATAGACTGACGCGTGACAAATATTCACAATCACCACAAGAAATATGACATCTTGAAGCTGCTTAAAATAGGCTCTGCGATGGCGGGGAAGTCTAAAAAAGCTACACATATCACAGGGCTTTTTGTTTTTTAGGAGGGGGAGGTATCAAATTTGAAGATTAACCGGTCACTTCAATTGTAGACTGGATTAGATATAACCTTATTCGAACATTGAAGCGATTATAAATGAAAATCAATCGAAAAGACCTGGCGGTGGAACAAAAGATAAAAAACCCGTGAATCACATCCCAAAGACTTCTGTAAAAACATGTTGGCTTCTCGACCAAGACTTTGAAAAGTCTGACAGAAGTGTGTTTAGTTTGGTGTATGAGGTGTTCCACCCCCTATGACTATTTTTAATTAAAGATTTGGGCTAAAACGTTTCGAGTAATGCAGCCTTTATTGAACTCAGTCTGCACTGATCATATGTGAGTACTCAGCATCCATATCGATCAATCAGTCACGAAATCGAGGCAGTTGTCCAACCTGACGTCATCGCTTCTGCCTGCCCGTCAGTTGGTGTGCATTGAGATTCATGAAACCAGGTGATGATGTAATCGATCCCCTGTCTGCAATTGAAAAACAGTGACTTAAAACACGATGGAAATCAAACCAGTTGTCAAAATCACGTTTAGAACGTGGAATATGGAAAGAAACAATGCTCATGCAGCTGAAAAATCTTGAGTAACAAGAGAATGGCCATTGTTATATTATGGAAGAGATAGGTAAAAAAATTGTTTGAAGAGGAGGCGCACTAGCCTTGCCAACTTTTAACATTCTTCGATTTTGAGTTAGCATTAAGGAACGTTTCAGTGAACTCCTGTCTACCAACCAAAACCTCTGTTTATTCTTCAATGAAAACAAGATTTTTTGGAAGTTGTGCTCTCACTTCATTTAGGGGGCATTATGCTGTCTAACAACCTATAAGGAATGCTATGGGTAAACAGAAACTGCTATGTCGAAATGAATCTCTCTATATTCACTCAAAAAAAACATTTAAAGAGACAATATCTCCCTGTCCCTTTTTATTACAAAAGTTCTTTTCCTTTTTGAACTGGACTTTCAATCACATGCAGATTGTTTTTAAACACAAGCTTCTAAATTTGAGCATCTCTAATGACAAGTTTTTCTCGATTAAATTTGCAACCCGGCTGTTCCTTTAGCTGCTGGATTGCAAATGTGTTCTTCATACAGACTCAAAATAACACTGTGCTTCTTTGCATCATGGCACTAAAAGGACATGTCTTCATCAAAGCGCCTCTTGCCCTCCCTCCTGAAATCGCTTACGAGTATGCTCGTTGAGTATATAAGCAGCTATATAAACAGGGGGATAGCGCAGTTATTTTTCTCCCAATACTAGGCGTTTAATTTCAAACTAAATTTCATCTCAATCAGGTTCGAAAGTCATCTCATCTCAAAGATGGTTCCTGTAAATGGTAGGGTAAAGTCCCACAGGGACCCAGTAGCAACTGGGTGGACAGGAGTTGAGAATCCAGTACGAGTTGAGCGTTCAAACAACTTGGCCATTTAGCCTCTAGATTTAAAGGAAGCGATTTTCGTTTTTGCTCGTTTGCTTTTCGTGTGTGATTTCCTTGAAAATCGTGTAAGGTTCAAAGAATTAGAATTTACTTACGTTGCTTGAATTCGTGTTTTCCCGGTGGCGCGAAAACTTTTGTTTGCTCTCTACTTTTCCCCTAAAAAAGAAATAAAATGTGTATATTCAGACATACCAGATCTCTCAAATCAAATAGTTAGAAACTTCAAAATAAAGAGCTTCTCAATTCTGGACAGACCTCTTGTATGGTAACAGAGTCATCAAAACTATACCTCACCTTTTACGTATAGATGACATTACGTCTCAAACATTACAAAATTTCAAAAATCCTACTTCAAAAAATAGTTTATTCATGAAAAAACGCTTCTTAACTACTTTTAACATCTGCAAAACTCTTGAGAAAATCTTAAATACGAAACCATGTTGTCAAAACGCGAAAAAGTGAAACAGAAATCATCAAACTAGTGCTGAAATTACAATTCATTATAAATAATGAAAACTAATGGATTACAGATCACAGATGCGCGATATTGTCGCTCTCTGCTTTAACTTTTTCTAGTTTTCCTAGCCACTGAAAAAATCGCTGTTTTCTACTTTGTCTGGTCCGTTCCTTGTCCCGACTCAACTTCACATTAAATGACCAAAATGGCATTGTGCTATCACATGCTCAATTTAGGTGGTCTATAGTATTATGTGAGCGGAAAAAGCCTAGCAACGCTTCCGTCAATACTCGCAAGACAAGAGCCACATCAAGGGGCGGAGTGGCTAGGGGCAGGGGGCTACTAGCAAAACTACCAAACTCGTAGGAAAACTTTGGTAACGCTTCGGGATTTTAAGAAATATTCGACTCGAGGGACCAATCTCAACATGGTCTGTTATGATCATTATCAAAAGCAGGGCAAATTATTCCTGACCATAAAAGTATACACCAACTGAAGGTAGCAAAGAGGAGCATTCTCTTTTTAGCACGATAACGAGGCGATCAACTCACCTTCCCGGCATTCAGTTCTCTGATGGCATCCAGTATCTGCTTCCGATGTGTCATTTGCTTGATTCCCAGGGACTGCAAATCGCTGTCGTTCATTGTCAAGAACGCCTCCATATCGATCTACGGAAAAACCAGTATTTAGTCGGCAAATAATGGAGAGGGGCACTAGGACTTTGTTACTGGCCTCTTGGTAGAGAGTGGGGGATTTTCACTCAAGGCGTCCTGAATTAGTGAAGTAGGGAAAGCTACTCAGGGAATGCTCAGGCATTCGAAGAGAAAGAGGAGGATAACTTTGCGGATGTTCAAAAGTGCACTCGGTCACTCACGCGACAAAAGCGATTCAATCAAAGAGTAAAATCAACCTTTACGATTGCTACAACTTTCCGGCAATTGAATGATGACATAAGGTTTATTGTTTACAACCTGCTACCCAAGTGTAAACCCCTCATGTTGACGTTCTCGCTTCTTTACTAGGACAGCATCTTAATTTAGAAAGAATCAGGCACTCGGTCAGTCATGCAGACGATCTCGTTTATAATTAAAGATAAAAACACATAAATGATTATTTTAAAAATGCGGCCTTCTCGTAGATTGATGATTAACTTTCTGATATAGTTAAATTTAAATTGGTCTCTTGGATAATGCTCTTTTTTTTAAAAAAATGGCCTCTTAGCCAGGTATCAATTTCTAACATCAATCAGAGACTATTCGTTTGCCTACGTCATTCCCCTGGTTTTCCTGATACTTCACAAATTCGACAATAGACATCCCTCATTCATTCTCAACTGAAATCCTTCAGCCCATAGCAAAAACAGTGAAATGCCGAGGAGAAAAGCATAACCTTGCCAAGACATGGTGTTAACATAGCAACAGCTAAATACTGAAAATGGCGACAGTTAAATACTGAAAATGGCAAACCCTACCTCTTCCTCTTCGAATTTTGTACCGTATTTCTCTAATGACAATGTTTCAAGCATTCTGAGGACTTCATCTACAATGAAAACAGACAATGGATTTGCAGGAATCCATCTCTAAAAAACGAACCTGAAAAGTGATGAAAAACGAAAACATATTATATGATGTAGAAAATTAGAAACACCATAACGCGCCGTGAACAATCAACGATAAACACGAGTAATTGCCCGCAACTCGCGCGCGATAGCGCGCGAGTGAAGGGCTTATAGTCTGCCCCGCGTATAAGTAGCATATGGAAGCTTCAGTTCATGTTGTCAGCACTTTGTCAGCAGATTTTGTCACTTTTCTGCTGCCATGACAACTGTCAATCAATTTCATTGTCAATCAATCGGCTTTGTCGAGGAAGTCGTTAACCGCCACCTCTTTGTGCGAAAGGGAATTATCTTCGGAGCGTTGCTCTGCCAAGACTCTGTTAAAGGCCTTCGGTTTTTTTGGCACGAAAACGGTGCTGCATCACAGCTCGGTTCTCCGCAATGGATGGAAGTTTTGATTCGAAGTTTTGGGAATCAAAACCAGTCGAATGCCACACCTTTCTCCCAAAAACTCGACACCGTACGAGCAAAAGTTATGATTGTCGTGATTATAGCCTGTACATCGCTGTACGAATCCTTTATCGCAATCGATTTTAGCTGTACCCGTTCTATCACGTGTCCATTTTCATACGTCTTTGCTTCACGAAAACGCAAAATAAATGTCAAACCCTAGAAAAACTTCATGATTTTCAAAAGGGCGTTGGACTTAAATCAAAGGCAAACTGAACACCAAAAATTCTTGATAAAAAGAATAGTTTAGCATCAACTAGAGCAGCTGTTTTTATAAAATTGTGAAAACCCAAGATGGTGTCTTCTTCGAATATCCTGACCTAAATTTTCAAAACAATCATTATCAAGGAACTAATTGTTTGCGGGCAGTACTAGCAAGAGCTATTTCTAGTTTAACATTAGTTAATATTCCGCTTTTGCTCTGATGAAGCCCAGTGTAGCATGTGCTTCCCGGAACTGATTGTTATTGTATGTAATTTAATAATGTCATCGTCTCTATCTGAATCTTTGTACTCTGTTGTTTGTACAGTATGTCTGTTGTTCTGTCTTGATGTGTTGATTAAAAAACTGTGATGTTGTATAGAATGATTAGATCTAAATTGTAAAGATCAGTCGTTGGATTGAATATGAACATATGAACATATGAACTTGTATTTGTCTTCCTCGCTACACCAGTATGTCGGGGCAAATTATTAGCTACTACAAATTTGCTCGTGTTTATTGTTGTTTTTTCTCAGTGCATTGCGGTATTTCTTATTTTCTACAATTTTATCGACTTTTCGTTGCAAGCATTCCATTGGAGTCCGTTGCTACCATGCCTTAAGAATTTGAAATATATCCAACGTTGGTATACTGAAAATTCAAAATTAAAACTGCTTAAGACAGACAAAAATCTTACTCTCTTGATACTCGTCATGGCTGCTTCGTATTGAGAAATGATTGTCATTTCGGGGTGTGATGGCAGGAAACGATGACCGGCTGCGGGGTTTCGATGGTGGTCTTGGTACAAGTGATGGCTGCACAGGAGCACTATGATATGTATTTACTGATGCTACCGAGCTTGTGTTACTTGAGGGTGGTTTTGTATATCGGTTGCGCAGCGGTTGCGTGGCTGTATTTGGTGGGTCGTTTTGGAACGCCTTCATAGGTCGCCTGTTAAAAAAGGGGTCAAAAATCAGACTATTTGTCACATTAAGAGTAACAAGAGTTACAAATTTTCCTTCCAAAGAACGGTCAATAAAGGTTGGAAACTTTACGATGTTTTGAGCAAAACAAAGAAGCTATGATTGCAAACTGATGATGTTTATCAATTGTTTTTTTGATGGAGTTGACTCCATCGTTGCAACACAGTGTACCTCTTTCAGTCTTTGCTTTACTCATTTGCAGAATTTGTTGCTTCGAATGAAAAGGCCTCTTCCCCCGAGCGTTCCAAGATAACTTTTATTTTGAGAATGACTGTGTGTAGGTGCTCGAACAGAGCACGCACGCATAAGATCGTTAACCTGGGGGTTGGCTTAACCTAGGTTCAACCCAAGTTAGCTGCGTTTACACTACAAAGTTTCTAACCCAGGTGAACGTTAACTCGGGTTCAACCCAGGTTTGTGTTTCCTCTGCATTTCGAAGATCTTAACCTGGGGTAAACCTAGGTTCAACCCAAGTAAGCTGCGTTTATACTACGAAGTTTCTAACCCAGGTTAACGTTAACCCAGGTTCAACCCAGGTTCAACCCAGGTTCAACCCAGGTTCAACCCAGGTTCCACCCAGGTTCAACCAAGGTCAAAGTTTTAGTGTAAACAGGGCTTTAGAAGACGTATATCACTCCTGATTGTATTCAATAGATTTTATCCTCGTTATGATTAGAAAGATTGCAAAAAATTTTCGAAAGGAATGCACATTTCACTATGAACCAGGCTATAAGAAGGAAATAATTGTATAATCAGAAAACAAAAAAAACTTCACTTAAAGCCTCTAAATAGATTTTAAATACGTTGTGCAGTTTGAATGTCCTGTTTGTGTGTTGAGTGTCATGTTTTTATGCGGAGGGTGTTGTCTTTGCCTGTGTGTCGTGTTTCAAGAAAATTGTAGACAAACATTATCCAAGCTAGGTATTTACAGCGGTAGTGTTTCTTCTGTTGGACAGTAAACAATGTTACCTAAAAGCTTTTACTTCTCCGTCAAGGATGTGAAACTATACTTTAAGATCTTCTGTAACTTAGCTGTCAAGTCGAAAATTGTTGCGATATAAAGCTGATCGATGGGAGAGTACTGAGAAAAAGGGTACAGAAAATGCAAACATGCTGACTAAATTACAGTTGAAACCGTTTAAGTCCCACCCAAAATAACTCGGACATTCACTAAGTCAGACTGGTTTTATATTTCCATTGGATATTTCAACCGTATTAAAGTCAAATTCTTACCGCCGAAAAGTGGGACATTCGCTAAGTCGGATCATTCCCTTACTTCCTTGAAAATGCAACTGACTGGGAATTTTTTTATTGCATGACCAATTTCAAATAATACTTTGGCAGTACAGAATTTAAAATGGTTTTAAAAATGCAACAGTTTCAAAGCATTCTTAAGAACTTTGTCTGACACTCTTTAGGGTACAAAACGTCGAAATAATGATCGAAACCTCTAAGTTAGGAAATATATTTACCCAGTTGTGGATCGAAATAGGCCAATCAGAAACGCGAGCACATGACTGTAAAGGTTGCCCAATCAGTGCCGCTTGCCGGTTGAAAACATTGCCAGTGGCACCAATCGCCAGCCAATCATTTCAAATGCAGATAAATGAGCGTTGGTGCAATAAGTATATCTGAAACCTACCTAATCCCGCCATTGGACACTGACGGCATCACTGGCCTCCCTTTCTGCCGGCTGACTGACGTGAAGAAGGAGTTAGTTGACGTCATCGATGACAGTGGCGAATCTGGCGAATCGGCAACAAAATGCATGGATTGCGAGGCCTGGGAACGATTAGTGAGTCTGCCGTATCCCGAATGCTTCAAGAAGCTACTGCTTTCGGAGCTGCTGCTCTGTAAGTTAAATATTGCTCGTTTTGTAGTTAAATTATAAAAAGTTACATAGAGGATTCAAACTTATGACAAAAAGAATACCAATTGAAAGTTAAATCCCGTTAAGTCGCAGCCCGGATAACTCGGACATTCAATAAGTTGGACTGATTTTCAATTCCCATTTAAAATTTCTACCTCGGATGGGTCAGACATTCGCTAAACCTGATAATTTCCATACCTCCCGAGATTCAAGGACTTAACGAGATTCAAATGTATCTTTGTTTATTGTTAATGCTTCTTAATGCATAGTTTTATATCTTATGTTCAAAGACAACTTGAGCGAAGAGCTTTAAAATTTTAAATTGCCAAACATTATTTCTTAAATTTCATCAATATCATAAGATATGAAAACTTAAAGATGCCTGCTGGTACAAGACATTCTTAAAGACAGACACCTTAAAGGCATTGAGTCATGGTAAATAGGCTCTCTCTATAGGGAGTCATTTGGTTTCGGCGTGATCGCTGCTGTTTCATGTGATATTGGCATCCGTTGTTGACAACTTGCTATTGATGGAAACTGTTATGTTAATCAGTACGAGGTGAGTTCATGTGACCAGTTCAAGGTCAACCAATAGCATCGCAGTCATGGAAATCATGACTCAGCGGATTTTGGCACTTAGGGTATACCCAGTCTATTTATCATGACTCAATGCCTTTAAAATACACAGATTTCTTTGGTGTGCTAATTAATTTAACTGAGCTTAAATGACATGAAGATACCAAAGAGGAGAAGGATACATTTATCATAAATAATTGTTACATGAAATTTAATATTAGAAGTCAATCAAAGCTGAGTTAATAAATACACGAGCTCCCTGCGCTGATTCGAGAAAGCCATCAGAAAATTATCTTTCAAGAAAACAAACCATTGCCAAAAGCCCGGTCAAAAATTTGCCCACAAACTTTGATTTCAGCAAAAATAAGTAGCTGCAGCGTGCTCGTGCATAATTTGTTTACAACTTTTTAGAAATTCTGTTATCTGTAGTTACTTTTAGGCATCAGAAAGATCGAACTGGTTCAACTTTAAATTTTTTTATATCGTCAGTGCTTGGAAGACAGCAGAGACTGGTTTATTACTGATAATGCTATGCTAAATCATGCTGATTTTATGTTAAATTATGGTAATTATTATAATTACATCAGATCTATCAAGCCAATCAGTTTCACTGTTCCTATCACTAACTGTTTTCCCATTCACTTGTAGCCTCGGAATGGCAGACTAAAAGAGAAAAATTTCATGTTACAAATCTTAGCATTTCTACTTTTCATATTCCTTCAAAATTCAAGTTTACAACATTTTTCGGCACTATGATGTCAACAAAGCTTTAGTTTTCAGAAGAACTTAGTTGAAAATTTTGGTTAGTGTGGCAACTTACGGTTTGGCTGCACCGTTATAGTTTATAATAATTGTTTAAATGACATTTCTTATTGCCTGATAATTTATACTGATATCAGCACACAAAATATAAAATGAATAAATTCTACACTGTTTATGTCATTAAATTTTAAGCAGCAATTTAAATTACATTTATAGAAACACAATAACTCTAAGAGAATTGATCATCAGAACACTTTAGTTATTGCTGTTATTATGTGAATTTCAGAAAGACTGATGCAGATTTTGAATTTTTTCTGCCATTGAATTCGCCATGAAGGGACCACTTAGACTTTGTACCTGCGGGGAAACATCTGCTCCTCCGCTGCTTGACAGTTTTGCATCTTTTGGCATCCTTGGCAATTCAAAGCTTGTTCTTCTTGGAAACGGCAACAGAACTGGCGCAACCACGTCATCAGGCAATTTAGTTTGTGGGAAAAGAAGAGCCTGGAATCAAAGTCACGTGACATTGTTTACATTTGAAACGCATAGCAATAAAAATTTGCAAAAAATTATCTGAAAAATTTTAAAACATGAGTTTAAAGTACTACTCACTATTTTCGGCTTTTCTTTGGGGCTTTTATTGTTCACATCTAGGGCTAAGTAAAAAAGATAAACGTTTATCAATAAAAGATAACGGGTGAAATCAGTGACTTTAGTAGTATTGTTGTTTGTTCACTTCGCTTATTGTGGGACTGCCTCTAAACGTCAAACGAATTACTGTAAGAACTTTGCTGCATTGCCTTGAAATAGTTGCAATTCTAGAAATGATGGGATAGTGTAAAATCAATGGACTGTTGGTCTGGAACGTAAAAGAAACGCCTGTTCATGTTGATTAATTCCTAAATCAATTTCCTTATATAATTTTCATATAGTTTTATACAATTCTCAAATAATTTTAGGATAGAGGTTCTCAGGTTACTTTTTGTGTCTAGAATTTGAGCAGTACCTAAGTCAATTGTACCAATACCATTTTGGGTTCATGAAATTTTGGGATTTTAATATGAGAAAAGCTATTGATTCAACATTCCAGTATATTATGACACGGTCCAGTATATAAAAAATGTCTAAATATTCTGGAATGTCAAATAGAATAAGCTGGTTCTGTTTTAATATTGTATCATCTTCTACGACGATCTTCGTATCTATTCTTTTCATAAAGATTCACGATTTTCTAGCAGTTTCGATGGCAGATCGCAATATAACTTAAACCATTGTGTTCGGTGGTTTTTTCATTCATACGACAAAAGTTCAGCTCAACAGACTTAAACAAGATAATGAACGATAGTTGTCGCAAAGCTTGCAACTCAGACCTTTTCTGCTGTGCTAACACTGGTCCTATAAACAGAATCGCAAAAGTCCTATTGAAATGAAATTTTTCAAGAATATATTGAAATACAAGATGTCTATTGATATTCGAACAATCTTTTTATGGTACAGGATATTAAAATAGCTTTGAACAAGCAAAAGTTTGAACAAGTTACTAAAGCTTTTCGTCTGACACTCTTCAGAGTACGCTAGGAAATAAATATACCCAGTTGTGGATCGAAATAGGCCAATTAGAAGCGCCATTGATATTCGACTATGAATAGAAAACCAACCTGAAAGAATCGAACTTGAAGACCTTAATGAGTATGTATCTACAAGCATCGTAGGATCTGAATTCTCGCTGATCATGGTGCTTCCAAGGGCATCGGGAGGCTGTGGGTGGACTCGAGACGTGGGAAAGGAATTTCGCGACGTTTTCCAAGGTTGAATTTTGCCAGATACCATTTTGGAGATCCAGGACTAGAAATAATAATGCATAGTTTTATTGAGGATGATTTTATATCATGTCGTTACTTCACTAGACTTCGCAGATTTATGACTGGACCACCTCTTATAATGATTTTATATCAGCGTTTGTACTAGCTACAATGGCAGCCGTGTAAGAAGAATTGTGACGATGAAGGCAATAGCCACATCCATTTCATATAAATGGCGAAGTACTTTTAGAAATGGTGTTTCGCTCTACATTTGCGCATTTTCGTTTGGATCTGATTGGCTAAAATATACTGGACATGCAACCTGCTTGTTCCCCAGCTAGCAAGACTATTCCTTGAGATGCTAACACTGTAAATGATAGGCAACTTTTCCCAATGATGTTACATGATGTTAAAAATGACAGGTGAAAAAGCCTCCATAAAAACTATACAGAAACGATACTGCAGTTATGGTTGCCCCAACAATTTGAAGGGTACAAAAAAGCCACTGATCTATGTCACTGCAATCAAACCTATATGTTACCTTTAACAAGAAAGCCCTTTTTGTACCATAGCACACAATAAGCAGTTAGATCACCATAGAAACATCTACAGCTTGGTTGTTTCAACAACATTGATAAATCAGCGCAGCAACGAATCGCAACGTTGGTCGTTCCACTTATTGGGGCTTAAGTTGAATCGATGAACTGCATTGCGTAAAGTCCAGATAAACTAATCAGATAAACAGTGGAGGTCTCAGTAGAAAAATGAACCAACAACTTGTAAAAATAACTCTTTCCTTTCAGCCATAAATATTACGATAACTAAAATATGATCTATCTTTGTGATACAAAATCTTATTTACCTTGACTGAGCCCTTGTTCTCGCTAAAATAAAGAAGAAACTTTAAAAACATATATTCAATACAAACAGATCAGAATACGGTTGAAGATAACTGGAAAGATGAAAAATAGAAGAAAGCAAGACAATTGACACCCAAATGAGAAAAATACAAATCAGGTAAAATAAGAACTATCTAGCGAAATCAAATTCAACAAAATCCCTCGTGAAATTAACCCTGATAAAATTTAATTTGATCAGCATTTTAATTTTATCTTTAAAGGCAGTCTGTCCCCTATTGTGCACAACTTTATTTTCACGGGAGTGAAATTCATGCACCGTTGAGCTTGATCGATAATTAAACGATTTAAATCAGTCAGAGACAACGTGGATTCCAGAGCTTTTGAATCAAATTGCTGTGTTCCCGTTGAAGTGAAGCTGTGACTAGAAAAATTTTGTTCTCTGTTTGGTTGTTGCGACAGAAATGTCAACAGCGAAAGGAAATGCTTCCCTTATCATCATTTAATTCCAGTAATTAAATCTTATTGCAATTCCGATAGCTTTTTGCTCGCAGTTCCAAATGTCGTCCACTACCGCAGCTAGGCCAGCCAAATCCGTTAAGGCGGGAAGACCTATTGTTCATATTAGCCCCAAATTTCAGGGGCCAAAAATAGCAGAACAGAAGAATATTGGCTGGCTAATCGAAGGGGCCTACCCCTGGATCCCTGTGCTCTAGAGTGTTGGGTTTTATCAAAACATGTGCCACTTTGATAAGTCTTAAACGATTTTGGGGAACAGCTACGGAAAATACCTGACATAATGGCAAAAATTGCCTTTCAAAAGCGGTCTTCTAATTTATATAAATTATCCTCGGCTGTTTAAAATATCCTTGGAGCTGAACGCTTCGTACCTGTCTTCATCTTCAACTGCAAAGGTCTTTATCGCTGAGAAAGAAAAATACATCAGTACGCATGCGCATGTTCCCGATCCCACATTAAGTAGGCTAGAGAAGTTTAATTGGGCTAATCTGATAATAATTGCGGGCAACCAATCGTGTGTGTTACGGGTTAGAAATACTAACTTGGAATTTCTCGAGACTCGCGGGCTCCTACCAGAGAGCCTGCCCAACAAATGCAAAAGCTAAAAGTAAACTGGAGCAGCAGAACTGCGATACTGGAGGTGATGCCAACCCAGCGTTACGTTTAAACGCTCTCAAGACTGACAATTAGGTTCTGTTTACAGGTGAACGATTGCACACCTTTCTATTTTCAATAGCCAAATCTATGAGAACATGGAAATCGGCCCGCTTATGGGCCAGTTTTGCCGCTTACACCGAAAATGAAAGATTCTCTACTGTCCCACATAGCCCACATATCTTACTACTTGCAAGAGGGTTGCCATTTGGCCGTTTTGACAAACAAATCCATAAAATCTGGTCGTTTTAGAAAATTCTTGCCGCCAGTAAGTGATTTGGCCGGAGAAGCAAAAGTTGGTCGAATTTTTTGCCGTATGCTGAAAGCCACAAAAATAGCAAGGAAACAATAATTTTTGCACAGGAAATATTCAATATTCTGTTAAAATAATCTCAAAAATGTCGAAGCAAGAACAAAGTAAAAGATAATAGAAAATTGAAATTGAAATGAAGTGGGGGCTTTGGTAACAAACAAAACCAAATTTGACTACACTATTACTCCACAAATTAGCGAAAATGTAGCATTTTTGTATATATTGTCTGGCAGGCAGAATTTTGCCGGTAGCTGTAAAATATTTGACCGCCAACCATTCCAAACATCTGGCAACCCTGACTCGCAAGTGTTCCAATGTTTGTGAAGAAAAGGTACCACACAATATATCTCTTATCTTGTTTTTTTTTCACAACTAAAGGTGTTATTAGAAAAACCGGACTTACAATCAGGAGCCAAGGCATTGCCTTTTTCGAGGGCTTTTCGTACCAACTGCCGAATAATTTCGGGATTTCCTGTACGAAAAAAAACAATAATGATAGAATTTGCGATTTTAAAGCCTTTCTTAAAGTCAAAATTATTAACAGATGAAAAAGCTTTTTTCTCAAAAAAAATCAAAATCATGGGGAATAAACTCATTTAAGAGATTCAGCTGATCTTACTAAGACAAGTATGAAAGTATCAAATTCATCTTGATTTTGCTACGTGAGAGGGGTGAAAATTACTAGACCTCAAATAAGATATGAAAGAATAGAAATTATGTCACGAAATTAAAGATCTTCGAAGAAAAATGTGCTAATGATTCTCCTTTAGGTAAGAAAAAGCATTTTCTCCTCAGCAGGTTACTGAATGGGCAACTTGAATAGGAAGGATGAATCTGGTACCAAGGGTACGCTTGGTACTGCGAAAATCAAAACATCACTTTTTCAATATAAGCTTAGTCAATATATCAAAAATTAAAGGAAAATTACACGTTTTCAGATTTCCGAGTCTAATTACCGAAGTCTCACATCATTGGTGCTATAACTTTATTCTTTTTTTAGTTGGTGTTAGGAAAAAGCTCAAGGGCCTATACCTAAGCCCTAATAAGGGAAAGAGAGGTGAAATTAGGAGAAGAGGGAGGAAAAATCAAGCGTATTTACTTTTTTTTCAATAACAACAGGTTGTACGAGTCATGGAAACAAGGCGGGGATAGAGCACTCCACAGTTTACAAGATCTAGAGTGGAAAGAGTTCCTGCCATTGGCAAAGAGACTTGTAAAGGATGAGCACCGGAAGAGTGTCTGGTATTGCGTGCATGTTTCAGGGACCCGGGGTAATGACTCTGATCTCTTGAGAGCAATGGCTGTGGTAAAATCTATGAAAATACCGAGATCAGCAACACAGCGCCGATGGGAGAGGGGCTGAAGAGAGTTTAAAGAGCCCTGAGCAAACAACCAGTTATCGATTTTCTAATAATTAGAAAGTAAAAAAGCTCCCGCATTTAAACCCTTTTCTGTTATTGAGAACATGTCTGCCACCGGAAGCAGAGTTGAAAAACCAATTAGAGGAGACGATGGTCATGTCATATTTATTGTAGAAACATCCTGTCGTTCGTTTATACACAATGTTTTCGCTTTTTGCTTGGTTCTCTGTTTGTGTCTGATAAATCTTGTATCGATGTTTCAACATAGGTATTGTACAAATGTACACAAACCAATGTACACAAAAAGTAAAACAAGATCTCACCAACTGTTGTTGCAAGGTCGAAAACCGTCCTAGTTTTGTTGTCCTTGATGCTGATATCAGCGTCAGCTTTAAGAAGCAAGTTGATGCATTCGACGTGCCTGCAAAACAATTAAAGTTTTTAATACCTCGTCAGATTAAACGTTTAGCACAGGAAAACCTCGTCAGGTTAAAAGTTGAAAACATCTACCATAAACAACTGTTTCTTAAATCTTCTTTTTCATCTTAGACGCCTGTCCCGCTTGCAGCAGGGTCCGCCGCCTTAATTTTCGCTCGCAACTTCGCTCTTTCCTGAGCATCTTCTACATGTAGACCTTTTCTAAAATGTCCTCGCGGACACAGTCTAGCCATCTCCGTCTGGGTTTTCCTTTTCCTCTCTTTCCAGGAAATGGCTCTTTTTGTAAGTTTGTCCTCTTCCATTCCTTCTATGTGGCCAAGTCATTTCTAGTACTTTTTCAAAGATATCAAACACTTCCAGCTCTCTTCTTATATCATCGCTTCTTACTTTATCCTCGAAGGTAACTTCTTTTATCCGACTCAGCATTCTTATCTCTGTTGTTTCCAGTTGCTTTTCTTCCTTTTTTCTAGTCGTCCAGTGTTTTGCTCCGTATAGTAGGACCGGGCGAGCTACTGTTTTGTAGATTTTAATTTTCAGCTTTCGAGGCATTTTCTTATCGTAAATGACACCGGAACATTCCCTCCACTTGTTCCATGCGGAAGATATTCTCGCCCTTACCGTCTGTTCTGGGTTGCCTTTTTTCGCAAACGGTTTTCGCTTGTGTATATGTCGCTTGTATAAGACGCATGAGCTTTTCAGGGACGCTTTTCTTTCTGAGGCACCAATATACAGATCTGTGGGCACCCTGTTGCTCCATATATTTCTTCGTAACTGCTTGACAATAAACACTGCGCCTGTGGTCCTTCTCCCTTTCCTGAATCCAAATGGCATGTCGTTTATGAAGATTATATTCCGTAATTTGTGGTCTAATATTCTTTCCAAGATTATCATGGGGTGTTCTAGCAGCTTGATTCCTCTAAAGGTTCCGCATTCTAATGGGTCGCCTTTTTTGATTGATAAATACCACGATAATATTGTCATTAATCCATTTTTTTACTTTTATTCACTAACAATTCTTTAATCAGCTTCATTATCAGTAAATTGGTATTTTCTTGGCATTGCAGTGTTATCAGTCTTTATTGTGGTATAACTATTAATTATTACAATACTGTTGACTGGCAATGTAACAAAATCACATGACAAATGGAGTAGCAAAATTTTAACTGGAAGAGTTGGCATCAGGGACAGGGTTCTCACCTTACACACATGAAGGTGAAAGCCCTGTCCTTGAGGTGAAATTCTGAATCAGCTATTGCTTGTTAAATGTTTGATCTTGATATTGGTAGAGTCTAGGTACAAATTCATAACAATTCCACAAGATTGTTAAGTACTAATTAGCAAATCATTAAGAATTCATCAATACCCATTGCATGTAGCTTGCATGAGAGCCGTCCATTCAGTAACTTTGTCTTGCACATCAAGGTCTGCCTTTTTCCGTATAAGAAGATCAACTATCTCTGCATGGCCTTTCATGCTTGCATAAATCAAAGCAGTTGCACCATCACCATCTGAAAAAAATGTTAATTCAGATACTGTAGTGCCAATACAACAAAAACATTGCAAGACCTTGTGTGGTTGGTCATTTCAAATACCATATATATTTGCAACAGTAAATTTGTTTGAGAAAAAGTTCGAGGTGTATAGAAAACATATTGAAAATTCGAGATATGTGACAACAGACTGAAGAAAACATTCTCTTTGAAAGGAACACATAATGCAAAAGATTTATCTTGCATTGAAAAGGTGAGATAGAAAGACTTCAGTTAGAGGTAGAGAGTAGTTCCAGGTAGAGTGTAGTCAAAATAGAGAAAGTTGTCTGTATTCTAACGTTGCTCTCAAGTTAATCAAAAATAGCTAAAAACAGCTTAAAAATAAATCAAACATGAATAGAAATATAGAAAAACATAAATGAAAGCCAACCTTGTGCATTAACCTCTTTTCCAAAATTCTGTAGAATCTCTTTGACCTTATCATATTTTCCTTGAAAAGACATATGGTACCTCTTTAATCTGATGTTTTATGGAAAACAGGGGCATCATGGCCTTGTTTACTAAGAGAGACAGATCTAGGGTGTAGAGCTTGGGGAAGTCAGAACAGCTGTGCCCCCTCTCCTTATAAACATATGCATGACAGCCAAAAAGTAACCTTGTACCCTCTCAGCTGTTACTTGTTGAGACATTGTTTGCCCTGGTGTCTTGTTCCCTTCAATGCAATACAACCCTGGAAAAAACTAACGTATTAAATTCTAGGCAATTTGACATGACCCTATGGGAGTCAAGGCTTATTAAAGTTGCAAAATATGAATTATTACCTAAGCCAGGCTTAAAAAGGTTTGATTATTTAGCAAAAGCTTGAGTGATGGGAAAAAGTTGAAATCTGCTAAGTAGAAATCTTCAGATTTCCCTCTCAAAAAACCTTGGGTAAAGAAATAAACTAACCTTCTATTGCAGCTTCGATAATTGGTGGCCTTGATGGCTTTGATACTGTGAAAAGAAATAACCTTTTTAATTTAACAATAAGCATGGGTTAATGCTTCTTAGATTATATCCCCCCTTCCAGAAAATCTTAAATGCTTCTTTAGCATGTGGTGAATAAAAGGTAAAAGGAATGAAAGTTTCTCATGAGCCATTTTGCACTTTATCAAAAAAACAGGAACTAATCTTATTTGTAGGGATAAACCACAGTAAAAATTATATCTTAAAATATTTAATAACCTTTGTTCTCTAACTTCCTTGAAGTTCTTTTATCCAAATACCTCTCAACATCCCTTCTACAATGAAGAGATGCTACGGACAATGCAGTTTGATCTGCTGCATTCACCACATTTACATCAGCTCTGCCTGCTTCTACCAACAGTTTAACAACATCAAGGTGACCATTTAAAGATGCTATCATCAAGGCATTCCACCCTGTAACAGGATGCTGGTAGTTCACATCTGCATCCCATTCAATCAAGATTTGAGCAACTTGAATATGCCCATGCTGTGCAGCTGTTAGCAGTGGTGTGGTAGCATATGGGTTAAAGTCTTCTTCACTTTGATTTGTTTTTGCTCCTTTCTCTAAAAGTGTTAACACAATTCCAGAATGACCACATCTACAGGCACAAACAAGGGGTGTTGATCCCATTAGATTTGTAACATTAATTTTGGCCTTACTTTGAGAAAGAAGGTTTACAATAGACTGATGGCCATAATAGGCTGCAAACATGAGTGGTGTCCAACCATGTCTGCAAACAATATCCAGTGATGCACCTCTTGTAAGGAGAAACCTAACAACAGCTTCATGTCCATTTGCACATGACATGTGCAAAGCAGTGAGTCCTTCATCATCACAAGAATCTACACTCACTTCTTGCTGGCTAATATAACTATTCTTATCCTCATTTCCATCATCTTGCAAAATATTAGCAACATCAGGCAAGCTGCCTTTTTCAGCAGCTCTTAGAAGCAATCTTAGTCTCTCTGATGGTTGAATCCCAAATGCATCTTTATTCCTGGACATTTTCAAACATCTTCAAGTTATTTCAGTTGTCAATCCATTTTACTCCAACTTTCTCATCATGTAACCTCAGGTTGTAATCTCATTCTTGCTCAAGCCATGTAAAGGAGCCTTGTTGTGGTTACATCTCTCAACAGTAGAATACTTTCTATTCCTCCAAGTAACTGTTTAAATGGAAAATAGATATGTTTAAAAATGAAACAAATCCACAAGGATAATCATTAACAACTGTTGGTTGAGATAAATAAATATTGTAAACAGCTTATCTTCTACACCTTTGTAGATTCTAGCAGCTTTAGAAACAATTACGGTGCCTTCAAGACATTTTGGCATTTCATATTATGCAATTGCTACTCCTATTTTTGATCTCCACATTATCCCCATTTTCAAAGCACAAGGGAAATACTTATTGCATCGACATGTTTTATAATGAATTTCAACCATCATACAATACACACCAGTAAAAGCAATCATGTTTGAAACTAAAGGGAAATTTCATTTTTAAAGTATTTTTTATGAAAAAAGCAAGCAAACAGGCTGCTAACAACAGCACTTGACCTTTCAAAGATGAGGCCAAAAGACTTTATCTTAGCAATGCATCCAAAAAACTTTTGATATGAATGAACATGTGCAATGTTGCTTGCAGCTCAAATGCCTTCTTTTGCTTGCTGGTTACAGCTGTTGGTGGGCTCTTTCTTACAGCTCTGCCTAGCGAAAATCATACATGTTTGCCAACCTCAGCTTTAATATAAGAACAGGAAAGTGGTAGATAAGTTGAATAGAAGAATTATGGGATATTTGTGGTGTTTTTTCTTCTTCGTATGTTTAGCAACTCGCGTTTGTTGAAAAATTTGCATTGCATGCGCTGAAGGCAAAAAACAAATTATATCTATGTTGAGAAAAGATTCACCTTTTTGAAAAATAGAAAAACACATTTTTACAAACCCGGTATGTACAATCACATTTTTACAAACACATGTGCAATCATTATAAAATTCCATTCTATCAAGTTTTGTTTGCGTCGTCATCGTGCCTAGGTTTTTCGTCACGATAAGGACATGATAAAAAAGAGACAAATTAAAGTTTCTTATAAAAAATATGGTCAGACCGCATGATGGCAAGAATATCAACATTACCTCTGGTCCACATGCAGCAATTAATTTAAAAGTGGCCTAGACAAGTAACCCGAAGCAACCTTGTCACCATCAGCAACAGTAAACTTGACTTCAGGATCTACCGTAACAGTGCCATTAATGTGCCAATTTCTAATTTATAAGTTGTTAGCTTCAAATGTTTATTTGCAGCCCTTCAAAGAAATCAATTAGGAAATCATTCATCGACAATTCTTTGGCAATTATTTCATTCAGGAACGTCTGGAAAAGCAAAACAAGGCTTGCCATAGACATCGAATCGAGGCTGAAAACTCTTGCAAGGACCTGTGACTGAATAAAATAGGAGCAGGGGTGCAGTGCTAGGGGCAAAATTTCCTTCTTAATTTCTTAATCTTCTCCGTCGTTTTATAATGAACCAACTTTGTTCCCAGGGGGGGGGGGGAGAAGATGACCGAACTGGCCCTTGAAAACTACTGACGCAAGTGTTGCAAAATGTCTTGCAAGGATCTTACGAGATCTAGGAAAAGTCAGACATACTATAAAAGATATTGCAAAATGAAGAAAAGATGACTAGATGATTAAATAATAAAGCTTTAAACCTCTTTCTAATAATATTTAAAAACCACATAGAAAAGAGGTATGCATAAAGAACTACAAGATGTAAATTCATAAAAGCAGTGTTTCAAACAACGTGCTATCGTTGATACTAACAAAATGCAAATCTTAAAAAAGGTGCATACCTTCTGTATATATTAATCCTTTTAAAAATTTCAACTACATCAGTTTTTTTCAACTACCTGAATCCTGACAGAAAACACCACATGTAAAAATGTTTTGCGAATACCTTCAAGTAATTTCAAAACGACGAAAATTTGTTACAGGACAACACTACAGAAAACTTTAGAGACATACTGTAGAGACATAATTAGATTCATCTGCTAAGGAGGTTCTTTTACCATGAAATTGACAAAGCTTGGCATAACAAATACAAAGGTGTAAAATGCAACACATATCTGGAATTTTCACTGCGATGGCAATAAAAATTTAAAGGTTTAGTTCTTATGTAGTCAGCTTTGTTGAGCTCAGCAACTTGGTTTCTTATCATAAGGGATCCATAACATAAGTGAAGACGACAACATTTGTCGTTAGATAAGAGTAAGAATATGACAGAAAATACATCGAAAGATTTGCTCAGATAAGTTCTTGGTACCGCAAAAATTGAAGATGGCAAGGAAAGCAGAAACATACCATACTAAAGTACTTTTTGTCCACCCTCCTCAGATGATAATCATCGAATAACGACCAAAAGTTTAATTAACGCTGTGCTCCAACAAGGAAGAAAATTTGGTATAAATATTTAGGAAGCTTTAAGTAAAAGAACGCATTTTTCAAATTATGTTTGTAAGATCATCGACATTTTTAATCATTGCGTGTCAGTTCCAGTTTTTTCTTAAAAAAAAGAAGCCCATCCTCGCCTTTACTATGTCGAACACAAATTGATGAACTTTCAAATGTTTGTCGCAGCTAAAAACGATAATAGTATAGACAGTTTGATACCACATGGTAGAGAAAAATACTTACTAAATAGGGCTTTTAATAAAGAGTTTAATTGGAACAAAATAACGGAAAAATAATATTTGTAGCTAATGTTTACATCCTTTTTGTTTTTGTTGAGATTTAAGAACAAGTCCCCTCCCTTGAGAATTTCTTTGGAGGCGTTTAGAGGTCTCTTGTTACCGAAATTTCATATTGTACAGAGAGAATACAAGTCTCAATCCACTAATAGTTTTCCCAGGAGTGGAGGAAGGAAAAAATGTTCTTTAGAATCAAGAAGTCGCCTTTACTTTGAACGCTGCCGACAATGTGGCTTAGTAAATCAAAGAAAGGATTGAGAAATATCTCAAAATCTGCATAAAGAAGGAAAGCAGATGGAGGAATTAAACTATTTCGTATGAGTATTACTCCATAAACCAACTTTCAGCCCATTAAATCAGTTGGTTGCTTGCTTTGCTTACAAGTTAGTTTACAAGCAATGCCATATGTAGTTGATGTTGGTTCAAGTAGTTGGTGAGGCACCAATACTTAAATAACGTTAAACAACAAAGGTTGCATTATGGGAATTAATAGCAATACGCTAGAAGCAATTACAGAAAACGTAAACTAAAGCCACAAAAATATCGCTGGAAAAGTTGCTAGTGCAAGACAAGTCTGACTATGAACGGGGCTCGGTTGAATAGTTCATCATCGAACATTTAAAAAATCTAACAATTTAGTCAAAAAACTCATCGATTTCTATATTTGGGTCCAAAAGATCATCTCCAAACCTACTTAAATCCATTCCATTTAAAATCAAATTTTCAAAAGTTTCTTCCAGATCAGTTTCACCTAGCAACAGTGCCCCCATCATTTTGCCATTCTGCAAGACAACTTTAACATACTCAACCCCCGGGGTATACCGCACTAGCAGTTCATAGTCACTACCGAGTCCTTGTGCGTTGTAAGTTCCCAGGAGACAAAGCTTGTATCCTAAAAATGAGGTCACGTGAGCAAACAGCTCAAAACAGAAGTCTAGAGTTGCCTCTTCGCCCTTCAAATTCTGCATCATACATTGTGCAGCATATACTCCCATTTGATAGGCTTGCGTCCATAAACGCATTTGAAACCAATGTGGTGACGTTACCCAGGATGCACTGCAAACGTCTCCAGCTGCATAAACACCTGGGAGATTAGTTCTCATATTGTCATCAACACAGATGCCTCCATCTTGGGACAGGCCTATTTCCCCATCAATGATATTAAGGTCGATATTTGGAGACACACCAGTAGCTGAAACGATTAAATCAGTTCCAAAGGTTTTACCATTTGTAAGCACAACATATTGGGGCCATTCTATCTTTGTACATAAAACATCATCAAGTTTGCTACATTCAATATCCAATTTTTTAAATTCCTCTGCATTCAAAACGTTTTTCACTTCACAGCAATACTCTATGTGGACGCTTCGTTTTGACACCAAAATATCTTTTCCTTTTAAGTTTACATTCAAGCTCCAGTCTGGTCCCAGAGCACCTCCGACCACTTGTTTAATCTTGCTAGACTCTGTAGAAAAAGTTTAATTTGGCATCAAAAACAAAAAAAGGAGCGACTAAATGAGAAAAAGGCTTGCTTAAAAATATTTTATAAATATGAGGTGAAGTTTCATTAGTAAGAGTATCGATTCAGAGAGATGTTAAGATGTAACTAATCTAGTAAAAAGATACACAATTTGGATAATACTCCTTTCCAAAATTTTGAGTTTCTGGATCTCTGAACATTGATTAGTAAAATTTCAAGCATTCCTTCCTTCAAGCCACTGAAAGCTAAGAAGGCACACAATTGGAATGTAAGTACATTTGTTTAGAAGGAATTACCTAAAATTATGCTCACAATCATCACAAATTTTCAAGAATAAATAAATAGGGGGTGGGGAGGGGAAGATCAATCAGAATTGAGTACATTTTGGATAAAGACGTAAAAGCCAGGGGAACAAAGGGCATGTATCCTCCATTTACCATAATTTAGTTTAAGTGCTTATTTGCAGCTCACAGGAGATCTCTTTTTGCCCACTTATGTTCCCTCCCCACCTTTCAAATGTACCCTACATCTATGTACAAGAAAGAAAGTAAAGAGTAATAAATGCAAATGTTTAAGAAATATATTAGACAATATGTTGCCAACAAAAGTTGGTGGATAATAGATCTGAATTTTCATGCAAACAAACTGTGCATGTCTTTGAATATTAACTATCCAAAAATTGTTTGCTAATATTAAAAAAGCAGTATCTGTTAGACTGTCATGAAATCTTACCAAAATTACCTTCTGTGCCACTATTATCCCTTTCAGCTGCAAATTTTTTCCTTTTAAATATAATTGTATCAGCTTTTCTCTGGTGATTACTGTCATCTAGATCAGCATTCAGATTTGGTAACAGAAATTCTGCAGCTGCCTTGTCTAAAAACACATTCCCAATTGCATTGTCTTTAATTGCCCAGACCACTTCACAACCAACTAACTCGTAGCTGCCAAAAACATGAATATTTGGTCACTTATGTAGCATAGTAGCAACAAAAATATATTTAGACAAACATTAAATGCCTACCCTGGGTTTTAGAGCATCTAAAAGAGTTGGGGAGAAGAAGTTATGAGGAGAGTTGGATGGAAAAAAAGAGGCAGGAGAGAAACATGACTGTCATCTCATTTCTTCCTCCTCTACACTCTCTTGAAAATTCTCTGAAACCCCTTCTAGATGCTCTGGAATCCAGGTTATGAAAGGTGTAAAAAGACATATGGCTGTTGTTTGAATTTCAAAGTTTAAAAATCATCTAAAATTATTTGTGATTGAATTTAGAGAACAAGATACTTAATATCCGAGATAGATCCAACCAAATGAGCTAAATGACAAGGACAGATACTACCTTCATTGTAGAAGGAAAGAGAGCATTTCATGAAAGTTTTAGACTCAACAGTGACATTTGGTTTCAACTTCCAGTATAGTACAGCAGAGAAGTGACTTTTAAGAAATAAACCTGCCCTGTCTCTGTTTACAATGATATTATTTATCTTTATAATCAATTTTTCAATAAGATTGGGCTTCCTGCCTGGTTTTTCAAAATCAAACAGAATGTAAACTTTAAGCATGAATCTTTAGATACAAAATTATAATCTCAGATGAAAGACAAAGACATATATTATTTGAGAAAATACAAAACAATATCATACATTAGTTCCAGTGCGATTCCACCATTTCCAACAACAAGGATCCTATCTGCATTTTTGAGCTGTTTTTGTAGCACAGTAACACTGTCCACATCTCTAATTCCAATTATATTCTGATTGTGAAAGTTGATTAAATTTGGTTTTGCACCAGTGCATACACACAACTTTCTGTACTTAAGTAAATGTCCTTTTGAAGTCTTAACTTTCTTGTCTGAAATTTCCATGAAAAAAATGAAAAAATTCAGTCAAAAAAAAAGACAAGAAATCACTATAGATGCTCCAGTCAATGCATCTATATTTATAAATACCTACCCAATTTTAATGGTCTCCTTCTATTTCTGCTAAGTTGGATTAATGTTTTTTTATACATAACTTTTAGATAATCTAGGTCTTTAAGAAATCCTTTTAGTGGAAAATAGACTCACTATAAGATATGAAAAAGATTAGAATAAGATATGACATATCATTTCCACAAAACCTTCAAAAGTAAAGATAAACAAATTATTAACAAAGATAAAAAAGTGAATGCCTTTATTGTCAAAAAATATATAAAAACGTTCATTCTCTTTTTATTGCCATCAGCATTTTAATACCAGTTTTTGGGGAGCAAGAATTATATTAAAACTTAAAAAGATAAATGGAGGGTTACTTTGGTAATGCTGTCACCATATTTGATGCTTATCTTTTTGAGTAACAAAGTACAATATAAAGTAACATTTAGCAACCATTGGCAAAAAGGTCCATAACACAGCAATTGCCTTTGTGAATTAATTAGTGGTTGACATCCTCATTAATTATATAGCACTGGGTTCAGTAACCTTTTACAATTGTTTCTGTGACTTAGGCAACACTTCAGGAACATTCTTTCATGATTTCTTAATTCTTTATGATTTCTTACTTTATAGAAGTGTTGAAGTAAATAGATCTCTAGTATATACCATGTAAGAATGTTGCTTAATCAAATGGAGTTTGACTGGTTAACTCCACTCCTATACCAAAGTTAACTAGACAAAGATTTTGAAAAATTGCCAATTCCAAATAAAAATTGCGTTTTTTATATCCACTCTATCAGCATATTTCTATTTGAACCGTATTCCAATAACTGCATGTCAGAAATCACAAGTAAGTTTGCAACAAAAAGTGAAGAAGCTTATTCTCAGAAATTTGCCACTAGAACCCAACCGATGGTTTCACACAGGATATAGGGGATTTTATGGGTTGTGTTACTTCAAGTAAATATCCTTTTTCTTTGTAATACCTTCAGATAAACATCACATTAATGCCCACTTTTCAAACACCTAGTTTGATAAGAGTTTATCTTGGGGCAGAATTGTCTTAGAAAATAGAGAAAACATAAATATAATCTGTAAACATCTGTATGTAGATAAGAGAATCTGAAAAAATAATATTCTGCTTCAATATTTTGTAAATATATTATATTCTTATTTGAATAGTGTAGTGGAATTTCGAACTAATGGACCTGAACCTGAACCAACGAGCTGAATCACATGAGAGCAAAACCAACGAGCTGTTTTACAGTTTATTGAAAACAATAATTAAAATGACAATAAAATAATTTTCCTAAATCTTAAGAGTGTGAATGATATATTTATCTATTAAACGATCCATTTATATCGAATTGGGTTGAGTGTTGACTGCTATAATAAAATTTTGTCCTTAGGTTGGTCCTCAGGGCCTAGGCCTGCAGAAAATTGGAGGTTATTTGAAGAAAATTTGGCGAAGGCTGCGTTATCTTTCGCACTATATGATAAAATGCTTACACCTGCAATGCAACAAAAACATTTCAAAACCCTACCTTTGTAGTAAATATCCACAACAGAGTCATTCAAAACTTTGATACTGGGATAATTCTCTGTTATTGAAAACGTAGGCCGTTCTTCGACGTGAACTTCTTCGAGCGCTCGTGCGATCTTGTTATGTGAAGTAACGACTTTAATCACATCCTTAGGGGCAACTAAAGTTATGGCAAAGTTTGGGTTGCACTCTGCAAGGTGCTGACAGCAGCTTACCCCAGCTACACCTCCCCCAATAACAAGAAAATCAGGAGATAGTATCAAATTGTCAGCCATTATAAAAGCATCCTTCCTGCAAGCCTCTTTTTGGAGTTCTGGTCATTTTTAACTGCTGTTACAAAATGTTGTATTATAGGGCCCTTGCTGTTGAAGGTTTTAAAATAGACAAATGATGAATTCAGTGTGTGAGAAATCTCATGTAAGGTATTTTTTGAGTTTCTTGAGAACAAAATTGTAATCATGGCACCCTGAGTTCAGAAGTCGCCCAGAAAAAGCTTCGTTGAATTGATCATATCTTATAATCATTAGTTTAATATAAATTTACAGCTTATGATAATTTCTCAAAATCTTCTTACCTTAATCAAAATTTTCTTTAATCTAATCTACAAATAACATCTAGAAATCTGACATTTGATCTTTTACTTTGCGGTACCTAATATAACAGTATGTTTGTAAACAGAACAGGTAAAGGGAGACAAAGGAACTGAGAAATAGATGACTTTTGACAAAGAAAGAAACTACTCATTTTGCTTAAAAGAGCTAATCAATATATAGACCCTGATAGTCAGTGAAATCAAAATTTTGTTTGAAGACCTTTGCAAGTAAAAATTCAGTTTTTGCTAGTTGATCACGAAATATGGGTTTTAAAGAAGAAAAATAAGCAAGAAAAGTAACAACGATGGTTGTATTTCAAAATCTAGTTAAGAACATAAAATCTCAAGTTTGAGAGGACACAAAAAAGTTCACAAATTGAAACATGCAGAGCTACTGAAGATTTTAACATATTACTAAGCCTTTTCATACACATTATATAGAAATACAATTAATCGTGGGAGCATGAAATATATTGATTGGTGCATTTTATTTTACAACAGAAGATAGGATGGTTAGTTACATAGATTTTGAATAGAGCTAAGCGTATAACGATAACTACAGGCTAACGGTTTTATTTGAAATTTTTGACCGTCCGCTTTAGAAAATTTTCATTTTAGGCTTGATTTCTATATCGTTACCAAAAGGCTTAGTTCTCAAAAACTACAAAAGACACATTGGACAATAATTACTCCCTATAACCTGCCATAATACAAGATGTGATATACAGTTAGGACAAGCAAGTTTATACATAAAAATATATATTGCAAGAATCTTTAGTCTAATGTAAAGAAATATAGCTCATTTGCTCCCTGTATAGAGAATTCAATTGACATCACCCCTTTGGCCAAACAACGTCCAGCTTATTGACATATTTTATGGTTAAGCTGTCCCTCGGAACGAAAATAAAAATTTTTACAGTTACAAAATCACGAGGGAGAAACCGTCCTTGCGTTAAAACGCCAGCAATTCATTCCAATCGCGGGCAATTTCAGATTGGCTTCTTTAATTCACTTCATGAAATAGTTCTTGTCGATATTTAGAGGGGGCATAAGTCAGATTATCCAAGGAAGTTGGCGTTGAGGAGGTTATCTTCATTAACAACCTCATGACCGTTGATTATCTCGATACACTTGAAGTAAACCTCCAAATATTTGTAAACGTCTATGCATGTTTTATCATTGAAGAACAATTTGGTGCATCTAATTTCACACATTGTTGTTCCTTCGCAGGCATCTTTGATCTTCGTTAAAAATAGTGGGGTCGTTGGGCAATACTTTTGAGTAAGCAGGTTTCCGGCGTGCTCTGAGCAAAGGCCGAAGTTTCGACGTCCCCAGAAAGCGGAGATGATTGAGATGTGCTTGAACTCACTGCATCTAAGCCAGGCGGTATCCTCTTCGCACTTGACAGTGCCATTCTAATAAACAAGAACAGAGAAGCCTTACAAGAAAGCCAAAGAGTAGAACATCTATTCGAAGGACTTTTGCAGCTAATATTTTATAGCTAACACTTGCAAAAAGTGATATAAAGAATGGTTGATTTGAGGTCAAACCTCAAAGACCATGTGGACCTCTAGCGATGTTTCTTTGTTGTATTTCTGATTTCATCGTTATGGGTAATAGGAAATAAATACAAATCAAGCTAAGCATACTCACGTATCGGATTGGAGTAGGTCCTGGAGGTCCAGGCTGTCCAGGCATACCAGGGGGTCCAGGGAGACCAGGCATTCCACTGCCACCGGGCCATCCAGGTGCTCCAGGCATACCAGGGGATCCTGGCAAACCATCGTTTCCTTGGAAACCTGGAGGTCCAGGAGGTCCCATCATACCAGGGGCACCAGGCATACCAGCTGTACCTGGATCTCCTTTAAATCCAGGAGGACCAGGGGGTCCTGGTGCTCCTGATGCACCGGGCATTCCATCTCTACCAGGAGGACCTTGAAGTCCTTTTAAAATGAAACCAAGAGTCACATTTTGATCTTTTAATAGTTTGTTGAGCAACGGTGGGACTGGTGATACTGGCAGCGACACCTTGAAATAAACAGAACCAATTTATTGGTGAGTCACTGATAAAATGGATAGCTGAGAAATTCAGCCTATCAAAGAAGATTCTCCCCGAATATCATTCGTAAACCGGACCTGGAAACAAGATCGCAGTGGAAATATTTGTATGATTAGTTGGCTGTAGAAGGGTCACCTGCAAATCACTGCAAATCAAGATCGCCAAATGGTCGCCAAGAGCATTTTCAAAAGTTCGCCAAATAAATTCTAAATTGACTTTCCATGTGTATCTGTTATTCAACGTTGTTATTTTGAAACATTTTTCCTCCTAGTTGCTACAATAGAATCACCTTGGGGTCTCATCAAACCCAATGGTAAAAATCTTGAGCTCTTCAAAATGAATATCACAATCCAAAGTGTAGAAAAAGATAATCCTTATAATATCATGAAACATAACAGTATTATGGAATTTAGTTTCCATTCATTGCAATTCTCTTTTCAAAGTGCTTTCACAAGATGATGTCATCAATTTGGCAGTCTATAGCTTCAGTTTTGTCAAATATGCCAAGTTATATTCCTCGAAATATGCAAATCAATAGATAAAAAGCAATTCAATATATATTTCAAGAAACCTTTGGATTCCAAGGGAATTAATAACATTTTTTAAAATTTTGTTTTTTATATAGTCCATAGCGACTCCATTTCTTACAAAAAACCAATAGCCGTTTTGCATATGACGAGTGTTTGGAGAAAAATTGCACTTAGAAATGAGAATACGTTGACTGAAGTATAATTATGTTAAATTTTAGGATACACAATAATTCAATGAACAGGTATCAAAACATTCTCAGTTCTAGAATTGCAATTTCAAATATAAGTAAGAAAATAAACACATCGCATATTAGAAGTCATATGATTTATATCTGGTATATTGGAAAAGGGAATATAGTTAACAATCATTCGTTCATACTTACAACAGAACTATGCCAAAGAAATAACAAGTACAATAATCGCAAAATCATTCTTTCTATCATTGGGTAGGCCAGTAAAGTTTTTTCCTCATTGGTGAGACATGAATCCGGTGTTCGACGGAACAAATAAAGAATCAATAAAACTCCTCTTTCTCAGATTTGTTTATAATCCAGATTTCGGCTTCACAAAACCAAAGAATAATATAAATTTGTAATGAATTTCCAAAGATCCAAACTCACTTCGTGAAAAATTCAGAGACAAATTGACCACCTCATCTACGACTAAACAGTTACCTTAACGGTTGATTGATTGGGTCAACAAGAGCCAATCAGAGAGCTGCATATTGATGATACCATAGGGCCTAGGCTATCAGGTATTTATCGGGTGTATGACCTATGCGCAAAGCCATAAATACGTCAATCAACTAAATAGGCCTATTCACAGTGATCAATGCATTTCGCGACAATCACTGAATACCTATTCCACCACCATATAGTTTGCTGGTTGCCTTGGAAACCACACGGAACTCGGGAGGACTTTTTGGAACTTGTAAAAAGTTTTTCGTATAAACAAATCTAGGCAACTTTTTCCGAATTTTCGACTAATATCTAAGTTTTCCCGAACTTTTTTGTGATTATCGAACAGTTGATTTTTTTTTCGAATTACAATTTCCTAACGTAGCAAGAATTTTCGGACCTGCAAACTTCGATGAGCAGGCCTAGTGGATGGATTTTAGTTGTAAACAAAACAAACTTTGACTTACCGTGACTTCGATTATTAGTGCCAGCCCAACGGCTATCGTCAGAGCCTTTACCAGCGTCTTCATGACCTGATGAGAAATCAGAAAACCCTTTATAATACCAAAAATGCTAAGATATCGTCTTGACCATCATAGCTGAAGCCAGAGGCCTAGGAGAATCGCGAGAAAGCCAAAGATCACTACTTTCTCGTGAATAATTAATAGGATAGGTTGCCTCACGAGCTAAATATGTATTTCACGTCTTTACAAGAAAGAACTATACAGGAAGCTGCTGAAGCTAGGAATCTGGCTTGTTGTTAGCAACAAACTGGGAAAAATTCGCAATGACTGATCGCACATTTACTCTAGTGAATTTGTCTTCTAGATTACAGAAAACAAGCCCGTATCAAAGTATGAATAACAAAAATGTATTTACGTTGTTTACTAAAACTTGATAATTACAACAATCAAAACACAGAACAAACAAGAAATTCAAGTTTCTTCATCGCCCTCTCGAAAAATTGAAATTGCGTTGTTCTTAACTATTTGTACTGTATTGAAGTTTGATAAACCTTGCAAAATGGGCAAGATGGAAATTGATGCGTCGAGCCTAAGATTTGAGAAAGGATACCATAATAATCCATTTATATAAACTGATTAAAGAAGTCTGAGTCTTGATTTCATAATTTTGGGTGAAAGGTTTTGAAAACAGACGCCCAAAATTATTTTTCCACTAACTAACACATTTTAGCTATTTTGCTACAGACATTATTTGTTCCAGTTCAGTTCCAGCTGTTATTATCAATTTTGCCTTAAGATATCATTTGAGACCTTAGGGAATCACATTGCATGTACAGAGATCGACAAGGGCCTAGCACACATTCGCAAATGATTCCATAGCATCATGTTCTTATTCCATCATCATCTCAAGGTTGAGCCTTTTGGTACTTTTAAAATTAGCCTCCATTCATTCCCTTCAACTATCATTCTCCTTGCTAACATTAACTTGTCGTCAATTTAGAGTTCAGCGAGGCATTAGAAAGCATTTTCAGCACAAGAATAACGAAAAATGCTTAGTTTTCAATACCATTAGGTATTGAAAATGTGATAATAGGTAAAAACAAACTTCTACATACAACATCTTATAAATTCTATTACCATTACCAAAGCATTTCCTTGAGCATCATGGTAAAAACTATACCAAAAAACTATTTACAGGACACACATTTATAACATCAGTTTTTACAAGTCATGGTATACATCCTGTATACATTTTCGTCTTATTATTAACATTTTGCTTGTGATAATCATTCTGACTATAACATTTTTTTCATGGACGTGATATTTACATTGTATTGGAATAATAGGAATGAAGCAGTGGAGGAAATTGACAACGATAATGACTGTCCTATTGACTACTATTTGTCCTAATGATTTAAACATGATAATGATTATGATTGCTAAGAATAATAATGATGACAATGATTATGACAACTATGCTGATGATGTTGGAGATGATTATGATCATTAATTGATCATGATACACAAATGGTATTAGCATGCATAAATGAGACAGTTTCCGGTTTGGTTTGTAGGATAAAGATCAAGGAGTCAGAGAACAGGCAGTGTTTTCGTTTCAGTATTTAGATAACATTTGATAATAAATGCGCCACCGGTAGTTCTTTCAGTCAGAAAGAAGCGACAGGTTCTTTGAGACTGCTTTCTCGCATATTTTGTAAATTTCATTGTTTCACTTGTATTCAGAAAATTTACCTCTGTGAATTATAAAAGGTCACCAGACACAAACAAAGTATAGCTCTTGTATTTTAGACAGAAAAGCCCGTAAAATGTCTACAGGTGATGGATAATATTGTTGGCTGGATAGAGGATTCTTATCTATGACATTAACGTTGGAAAATTGAGTTATGATGAAATTGTAACGATTTTAGGAACTGGCTAGAAAGTCCGTCTTAAATTTGGACAATGGCCTATCTGAAACTTGAATCAGACGGGAATATAACTGATCATGTGGTTGCATTGCAAATGGTAGTTTCTGTTTCATTATTCTAGAAATAAATTGGGACAAGATTTGCTTTCTGCTGGATGAAAGAGTGTGCAGAAGAGGGGTAGGATTGTTTGCCAGTGTGACCTATGTAACATACAGACCAAATTAAACTGTTAAAGTGGTTACACTATTAATGGGCCAAACAATTGGTGACAAAAGTTTTAATCGATTGTAAATAATGTATAAAGTGACAAGTGAGGATACATAGCTACTTGGCACACCTTTAGCACAGCTTAATACTATTTACGACACCAAAATCAAATAGAAAAAAATGGTTGTTCTTGGAAGGTGTCACTAGAGGTGCATTAGTGGCCTAATTGCCAGTAATGTTGTGTCGACCGATACGAAGACGAGGCCAAAATTGAATTAAATGCAATCAAGGGAAATATAAAAATGTCCACACAACATTGTTGCTATGCAACTGCAGAAAAGTGCTACAGCTTTTAGGCTCTGCATTTAGCGCTTTTGCAGGTTTATAATACAATATATCTTTGTAATATAACACTGGTTAGAAAGCCTCGTTTACAAGTGTGTGTTTTGAGGAATCCTCGAATGCAGTTTTGCTTTTCTAAAGCGAAGTCTTTCAGTAAATGCTCGTTGTAATTCTTAATGTAAGCAGATGCATAAATTAAGCTTTATCAGACTGTCGTTTTGATAAAGGCTAGCTTTCGAGGTGCAGATATTTTCAATGAGCAGTCGACTACTTCTCATTTTTTTGCAAAAGTTATCATATATCAATGTAACTATGAAGATTTTTGCCAGCGAAAAGGCATTAAGCAAATTTATTTATTTAGTCAAAGCATCATGAAAAATATCAATTGAATTTCCAAAGTTTGGCTTTGATTTGAAAAGCTATTCATGCAATAGAACGCTAGAATCTTTTTTGTTAAGTTTAATATTTGTAAATTTTGATAACTAAGTCGGTTTTATAACATGTACCTCAATGCACTCGGTCTGATCTTTAAGTTGACGTCATAGGCCATTTTAGTGCAGGATTTTTGCAAATGATTAAGCTCATTGCAGGTGAAAACATTAACACGATTTTGATTCAAATTTGAAATTTAATAACAATATTTCTTCCTCAAATTTTGAAATTGCTTGAAAGAGTGAACCCTTTTAAATTTCCTATCACCTTTTTCTTCATAGTTCATCATTTTGTATTCTGACGAGTGTAGGAAAAAAGTAACCAAGTATGCAGGTTTAGGCTTTCACTTTTTCGAGCAATTTTTCAAGTCTTGCTACCTTTCGGTTAACAGAGTGCCTAAGTGCATTTATTCCGGTCCTAGCATCAGTTATTACTGTTGTACATTAGTGAGGATGTTTGTATGCGATGCCTCAAAGCCCAGTCTACTGGTCAAGGATCACGACCTGCTTGTCAAAGAGAAGCCCTGTTGCCGCAAAGCAAAGATCATTTCCCCGTTCTACCAAAACAGTGGCCTCTCTATTTGTTGCTTACTAAATGCAAGCAATAACTTTCCAAATTGTGGTAATTCGGATTCTGCATTGGAACATTATCTGCGATCTGCACCTATCTACAAAATGTGCCTATATGCAAATGCCTTCGTGCAAGATGTATGAAGCAAAAATTTTGTGGTAAATCTCTGAGGCTCTATTCCAGTGCTGTGCAAATAAGTTGAAAGCTTGGAAATGAGTAATAGATCAACTTAATCGATCATTTTTTGTCAAGTAATGGGCTCGTTGCAAATGTGGCTGCTATGTAATGCCGACTGAAATTGCAACTCTGGAAACCAATGCACTTTACAAAGTAAGGACTTTTCAACATCCTTAGGGTGTGCTATAGATCGTCTTTAGCAAATAATCTGCACTCCTTGGCTTTGCAATAGGCAAATTCTGCAGAAGTACCTGAGCAAGTTTGCAACGGGTCTGCGTGAGCTACCAGCACAAAACTACAAAAGGCCACCAAAAGTAGCAAAAACAACAATTATAAACGCTTGTGGTAATGTTCAAAAACCAAACAGTCGTACTAACCTCTTTTGTCCAGCGGCGGGTCGAAAATAAAGTTCCGGTTAAAGAAGGATAAACTTGCCGTTATCTACTAGAAGAATTTATCAGACAGCCTAGCTGAAACTAATTATCAAAGTTGATTGTTGATGCCAGAAACGCGATCAACGCATGCGTATTTTCGAATTGGCGTTAAGACGGCGTTACGTGGCGTAACCTGTGCCCTGGCTCACTGAGTTTTCAATTGGAAACAACTGATGAAAAATGACTCAATGATTTTGTTCAATTGCTTCACAAGAATTTCAATTCAAGTTTAAGTAGCGTGAGTGAACATGAATCGCGCGATCGAAGACCCTTTTGTTATTGTTTATTTTCGCTACTCATAAACAATGGAATGTTCCAACCCAAAATAGTGTTGTATTCTGTTAAGTTTTGGCTATTAAATCAAGTATATTACTGCTGAATGGGGAGAATATCAAGGCATTGATGCATGTAAACCAGGGAGCAAGGACACTTAAGGAAATAATGCAATTTTGCATCGGTGTTGAGTGCCTTTTCCTTGGGGCATGACCTCAATATGACCGCGTCTTCTGCAAAATCAAAAGTCTTATATACTTCGTGTATATAGCCACAAACAATTTCTGTTTGTAACAGTAAACATTTTTGCTGCTTTGAAATCTTAAGGCAACAAGTTTGTAGGAACGTCGGGGGATAATCTGATTCTGCAAATAAAAAAAGATGCTGCAGAAGCTTTTGCATCTGCAAACCTTACTGGAAGGAGTGTGGTTAGCATGAGCTGTGCCTCAAGGAACATCACTTGAGCCTTTGCTTTCGTGTTGCATCTGGTTC